AAGTCCAGTCGTGTCCAACTCTGGGGGTTGGTGCTCATCTCCATTTCTAAGCTGAAGAGCCGGCGTTGTCCGTAGACACCTCCAAGGTCATCTGGCCAGTATGACTGCATGGAGCGCCGTTACCTTCCCACCAAGGTGTACCTATTGATCTACTCACACTTTCATGTTTTCGAACTGCTAGGTTGGCAGAAGCTGGGGCTATCAGCAGGAGCTCACCCAGCTCCCCGGATTCAAACCTGCAACCTATTATATTGGTTCTTTCTGCTAAAAAGAATGACGAACGTGTCTGGCAACACTAAAAAGGAAACCGAACCAATGCTGGAACAGATGGGACAATAAAACCATGGAAGTAGATATCAATCAGGCGTGCTCGAATAAAGACGGGGGAGGATTTATTATGAGGGATATAGTAAAGCAAGCAACCCAACAGGAACAACCTGCTCAATGCATGTCGAATTGCAATAAAATGCCAGCAGCAGGTGAAGATGCTCTCGTTTCGATGGCATTCTTTGCCTTCCCGTGTCACTTCCACATCTCTTAAGGATATTTGCATCTGTTGTTGTTTTAGGATATGATTCAATAGCAGGCATGGGCAAATTTGGGCCCTCCAGGTGTCAGAAGGGGGTTGGGCTAGATGGCCTTTGGGGGTCTCTTCCAACTAGCAGGCATGAGCAAACTTGGGCCTGCTGAGGATGCCTGCCATAGATGCGGGCGAAATGTCAGGAGAGAATGCTTCTGGAACATGACCATACAGCCTGGAAAACTTACAACAACCCAGTGATTCCGGCCATGGAAGCCTTAGACAACACCTTGATTAGCATCAAATGGCCTCGCAGATTCAAAGCCTGGCTGCTTCTTGCTTGGGGGAATCCTTTGTTGGGATGTGATGAAACAATCAGGGCCAGATAACACCTCCCAACAAAAGATTCCTCCCAGGCAGGAAGCATCCAGGCTTTGAAGGTGCAAGACCATTCAATAATAATAATAATAATAATAATAATAATAATAATAATAATAATAATTCACCTTGATTATCATTGAATGGCCTTGCAGCTTCAAAGTTTGGCTGCTTCCTGCCTGGAAGGAATCCTTTGTTGGGAGGTGTTATTTGGCCCTGATTGTTTCATGGCATCCCAACAAAGGATTCCTCCCAGGCAGGAAGCATCCAGGCTTTGAAGCTCCAAGGCCATTCAATAATAATAATAGTAATAGTAATTCACCTTGATTAGCATTGAATGGGCTCGGAGCTTCAAAGCCTGGCTGCTTCCTGCCTGGGAAGAATCCTTTCTTGGGAGGTGTTGGGAATCCTTTCTTGGGAAGAAACTCCATGACACTCCAACAAAGGATTCCCCCAGGCAGAAGCAACCAGGCTTTGAAGCTAAGAGGTCATTCAATAATAATAATATTAATAATATTTCACCTTGATTAGCATTGAATGGCCTCTTAGCTTCAAAGCCTGGCTGCTTCCTGCCTAGGAGGAATCCTTTGTTGGGAGGTGTTATCTGACCGTGATTGTTTCATGACATCCCAACAAAGGATTCCCTCAGGCAGGAAGCAGCCAGGCTTTGAAGCTGCAAGGCCATTCAATGATGATGATGATGATAATATTTCACCTTGATTAGCATTGAATGGCCTCTTAGCTTCAAAGCCTGGCTGCTTCCTGCCTGGGAGGAATCCTTTGTTGGGAGGTGTTGTCCGGCCCTGATTGTTTCATGACATCCCAACAAAGGATTCCACCTGGCAGGAAGCATCCAGGTTTTGAAGCTGCAAGACCATTCAATAATAATAATAGTAATAATAATTCACCTTGATTAGCATTGAATGGCCTCTTAGCTTCAAAGACTGGCTGCTTCCTGCCTGGGAGGAATCCTTTGTTGGGAGGTGTTATCTGGCCCTGGTTGTTTCATGATATCCCAGCAAAGGATTCCCCTCTGGCAGGAAGAATCCAGGCTTTGAAGCTGCAAGACAATTCAATAATAATAATAATAGTAATAATAATGTTAATAATAATAAATATTTGTATTCCGTCCTATCTCCCCGAAGGGACTGAGGCTGTTAGTAATAGTGGGAGTTGAAGTCCAAAACACCTGGAGGGCCCAAGTTTGCCCATGCCTGCTCTATATGAAAAGCAATACAAGCATAGGCTCTTCTCACCAATGATGTTACACTGGGACCAGCGAGGAACTGGTTCCAAAACTGGTTTGCAGTGCTACCGTATGGGCACGCCACCCATAAGGGACCGCAACCAAGGAACCTGAGCGGCCTCTTTGCCACCAAAAGGAAGGAAAACCCAAAGGGCAGGTTCCAAATGATACCCAGGTAAAGAGTGGGCGGTTCATCGGAAACTGCTATCTCTCCAAACCACTCATCCGCTCCTGTGGCTAAGGACCTGATTCCTGGGTACGGAAGATACTTCCTCACTCAAATGGCAAACTTGGCATATGCTGAGCCATGGCTGCTTTACTTTCTACTTAAGCACAAAGAATCACACCAAAAACAAAGGTGGCCCATTGCAACATTCACACTTGCCTCCAGCAGAAAAGACTTCTTCCACCCTGGACATCATTCCACAGATATATAAACCTCACTTGCCTAGCTTCCTACTTGGGGGAATCCTTTGTTGAGAGGTGTTAGCTGGCCCTGATTGTTTTATGTGACATTCCACAGATATATAAACCCCAGTTAGGAGGAGGTGTCAGCTGGCCCTGATTGTTTCCTGTTAGTATTTCCTGTTTTTTGAGTTTTACTCCAACAACCCCCAAGTCAGACTACACAGAGAAGTAATTCAAATCCACAAGCATGTGGACAATTTCAACAGAAAGGAGGAAACAATGAAAATGAACACAATCTGGGAACCAGTATTTAAAAAAGAAAATCAGGACAGTAAATGAAAAGCAACACTTAAAAAGCAGGAGAATTCCAGACAGAAAACAATCAGGGCCAGCTAACACCTCCCAGCAAAGGATTCCCCCAGGCAGGAAGCAGCCAGACTTCAAAGTTGCAAAGCTATTCAATTCTAATCAAGGTGACCAATGGCAACATTCACACTTGCCTCAAACGGACAGGAGTTCTTTCTCCCACCCTGGACATCATTCCACGGATATATAAACCCCTCTTGCCTAGTTTCCAACAGACCTCACAACCTCTGAAGATGCCTACTATAGATATGGGGGAAATGTCAGGAGAGAATGCTTCTGAAACATTTAAATCAAACATGATCCCCCCACCCCCACCCCCAATAAAAGATAGTAACTTATAGTTTTGATAAGGACAAGGACACCAGACTTGGATAATAAGGGTTAAGCCTTGGTCAGTTTGCCAAGACACTAACAACAACAACAACAACAACAACAACAACAACAACAACATGGACCCTTCCCATGTTAGATAGTGTGTCCATTTAATCAAGGTTTTATGCCCTAGGTTTCATATATATAGCAGAAGGTAGCACATTTATTACTGAGAAACCCCCTCCCTTTACACTTATGTACTCTCTTGAACTTCTATGGCACTCTGGTGGGAGGGATAAGTGGGTATGTTTTCTATAACATGCTTTCTATATTTCTATATTCCTCCCTGTGTATTTGACCTTTTCCTGACCCTTTTGCCTAATCCCCCTTTATTGAAAAATGTATAAAAATACAAGGCAGCCACTCCTGTGTGACCCTGGAAAGAAGGCAATCTCCAGTTGAAAAAGACCTTTATCAAAAGACACTATTTGCATGGACAATAACACAGGACCATGACCTCTGGGCTCGGAGTTGGTCCCCCATAGGAAGCGGTCATTTGGCAACTATGATCATATCTCAATAGGATGGAGGGGGCCTTCGGAAAGCCGCACCTCATCCTAATCTGTCATCCATTCAACTTTTCTTTCACTAAAGACTTCAGCAAAAGTTCCCCATTGTTCCCATATCTCCGCACTGGAAAAATCCGGATCTTGGCAGGATCGCCAAACATCAATGTTTATTGCAGCTACTCAATGACAATAGGAATGGCTGGCTCGTAGGCCCCAGGACTCGCTGGCCACATGGACATTTCCCACCTCCATAATCCTCTCAAGAATCCATTGTTTCCCTCTCGTCCCGCCTCCCTCTCCCCTGATTTGTCAGGACACCAAGGCGGCAGAAGCCCAGCAATTGGCCCAGGCGCTCAGGAGGTGGCCAAGCCTACTCCCAGCTGTAGAACGCCAGCCAATCATCGTCGAGCTGGCAGAGGGGTGGGGAATGGGAGATTCAAACCTGGGCACTCTGTTTCTGTATAAAAAAGGCTTTTATTAGTACACATGTTATTCTCAGCTTGGCGAAATATTGCTGCTTTGCATCCTTTTTAGCTGAATTGCAATCAAATCATATTGGTGGTGCTTCCTTCAACTTTGGTGAGATTTCTTTTGGGAACTTAGGAAAAACCTTTTAAATTGGGCTTCTCTTTGCTCACCATTGTAGCAAGCCCTCTTTGGTGGGTCTGCAGGGTCTCTCCTTCAGGGCCAGACCCTTTTAAATTCCTCCATGATTTCAACATGACCAGGCAGCACGGAAAACTCACCACAACCCAGAAACTGTTCAATTATTCATCAGATTTTTTCCTCCAAATAGCAAAACCAACTCATCCATCGCAGATTATCCAAAGTATTCCTTAGGAATGCCACACCTTCCTAAAATTGCAAGCTGTCACATAGCATTGATGCATCACTTCAAGGATGGCATGGGATACAAACAAACTTCGAAAGCCGATGATGGATGTTTGAAATCCTTTTGCAATCCAGGGAATGCAAGCTGAGGCTGGGGTGAACTCCTTGGGGATGGATACCTTGGATGAGGAAACATTGATGATAATACCTGCTTGACAGGTAGGCAAAAAGGCCATCTGCCAAGTGTGTTTTGAAGCCTGTTACCTGGAACAAATTGATTTAAGCACCGGGGAAGTTTCTGGATTTAACGGATGATTCAACCGGATGGGTTCAAATCCTGCCACGGAATTCAATGGGCGAAGGTGTCTCACTCTTTCCTTTTCTTCCGATACAGGACTTGCCACTCAACAGGCCTGTTCCGCTGGGCCTTGCACCGGAGTCATGGGTCTTGCTGGAAGGATCCATTCGTCCAGATAGCAAATGGTAAGAGACCCCAATATTTTTTAATGTTTTTTTCGAGACTTGACAGAAGTCGAAACAGACAGAACAGGCAAACACGCTAATCTCTCAGGTGTTCTGCCAGGCTGAGAGAGAAAATGATAACAGAGTCAAGGCTGAAAAGAAATCCTTTTCTGGCCGCTTGGGATACGTCGTCTGCAAGGACGTTGCCCAGGGGATGTTTTGATGTTTTACCATCCTTGTGGGAGGCTTCTCTCGTGTACCCACATGGGGAGCTGGAGCTGACAGAGGGAGCTCATCCACGCTCTCCCCGGATTCGAACCCATTGAGCCAATCATCAGACCCCAATCATCCCTGAATATTCAATTGGCAGGAGGAACATGGTATTTTCGTAGGTCTGGAGATAAGACACAGCGCAGTGTTTGTCTTCTGGAAATATATTCTGTCCCCATACAGTGTTTTGTGCACGGTGAGGAATAACAAGCTGCCTTTGCATATCTAACGGCTCCTTTCCCCTTCTAGCATTTAGGTCAAGAGATAAGACAAGGTCAACATCAATCCAAACAGAGGTGAATAATTCCCCTGTTGATTGATGTTCATTGATCCAATTCCTGTTCCTTTTAACACAAGACATTTTCCATTAGCAAAAGGAACACGATCTCAAGGCTTTCTTCCTCCTGCTTCCATCACTGTCTAGCCCAGTGGTTCTCAACCTTCCTAATGCCGCAACCCCTCAATACTGTTCCTCATGTTTTTGTGGAAGGTTTGGTGGGCATTGACCTTGAGTTTGGGAGTTGTAGTTCACCTACATCCAGAGAGCACTGTGGCCTGAAGCAATGTTAGATCTGGACCAAACTTGGCATGAATACTCAATATGCCCAAGTGTAAACAATGGTGGGGTTGGGGGGAAATAGAGCTTGACATTTGGGAGTTGTAGTTGCTGGGATTTGTAGTTCACCTACAATCAAAGAGCATTCTGAACTCCACCAATGATAGAATTGAACCAAACTTGGCACACAGAACCAATAGTAAATACTGGAAGGGTTTGGTGGGCATTGATCTTGAGTTTTGGGAGTTGTAGTTCACCTACATCCAGAGAGCACTGTGGCCTGAAACAATGTTAGATCTGGACCAAACTTGGCACGAATACTCAATATGCCCAAATGTAAACACTGGTGGGGTTGGGGGAAAATAGAGCTTGTCATTTGGGAGTTGTAGTTGCTGGGATTTATAGTTCACCCACAATCAAAGATCATTCTGAACTCTACCAATGATGGAATTGAACCAAACTTGGCAAACAGAACCAACAGAAAATACTGGAAGGGTTTGGTGGGCATTGATCTTGAGTTTTGGAGTTGTAGTTCACCTACATCCAGAGAGCACTGTGGCCTGAAACAATGTTAGATCTGGGGGAAAATAGAGCTTGTCATTTGGGAGTTGTAGTTGCTGGGATTTATAGTTCACCCACAATCAAAGACCATTCTGGACTCTACCAATGATAGAATTGAACCAAACTTGGCACACAGAACCAACAGAAAATACTGGAAGGGTTTGGTGGGCATTGACCTTGAGTTTTGGAGTTGTAGTTCACCTACATCCAGAGAGCACTGTGGACTTAAACAATGATGCATCTGGACCAAGCTTGGCACAAATACTCAATATGCCCAAATGTAAACACTGGTGGGGTTGGGGGGAAAATAGAGCTTGACATTTGAGAGTTGTAGTTGCTACAACTCCCCTACAAAGAGCATTTGAACTCCACTAATGATGGAATTGAACCAAGCTTGCCACACAAAACTCCCATGACCAACAAAAAATACTGGAAGGGTTTGTTGGGCATTGACCTTGAGTTTGGGAGTTGCAGTTCACCTACATCCAGAGAGCACTGTGGACCCAATCAATGATGAATTTGGACCAAACTTGGCAGGAATACTCAATATGCCCAAATGTGGACACTGGTGGAGTTTGGGGAAAATAGACCTTGACATTTGGGAGTGGTAGTTGCTGGGATTTATAGTTCACCAGCAATCAAAGAGCAGTCTGAAATCCACCAAGTATAGAATTGGGCTAAACTTCCGACACAAACCCCCCATAACCAACAGAAAATACTGTGTTTTCTGATAGTCTTTGGCAACCCCAGGGGTCCTGCAACATCAACGATTGCAATGACGATCCAGGAGCACAATATTCCTGACCTTACTATTGTGTTAAAAAACCAAGAATGGATCGTTGATGTTGCAATCCCAGGCTACAGCAGGATTTAAGAGAAACAACTAGAAAAGCTGACATGATATGAGGATTTAAAGATTGAACTGCAAAGGCTCTGGCACAAACCAGTCATGGTGGTCCCAGTGGTGATCGGCACACTGGGTGCAGTGCCTCAAGACCTTGGTCTGCACTTAAACACAATCGGCAATGACAAGATTACCACCTGCCAGCTGCGAAAAAACCACCTTACTGGGATCTGCATGCATTATTTGCTGATACATCACACAGTCCTAGACACTTGGGAAGTGTCTGATGTGTGATCCAATTCAACACCCAGCAGTGTCTGCTGTGGACTCATCTTGTTGAGTTTCAAATAGTAGTAGTAGTAGTAGTAGTAGTAGTAGTAGTAGTAGTAATAATAATAATAATAATAATAATAATAATAATAATAATATATTACTCACCTTACTTTGTGGCTTGATAACATGTGTTCAATAGCATCTACGGACCCAAACTGGGTAAATATGAGAGTATCAACCACTACGTAAAAATCTTATAGCTGACCCTCTGTATCTATGGATTCTCCATCCATGGATTCACCATTGGAGTTGGCCACAAGGCTGACCTGGCCCTTGTGGAAAATGGACTTGAAACCCCTACAACTCTGTCTGATGGTTATTTTCCCTTGTCACTCTACTCCCTTTAAATACCGTATATGCAATTTCACAGACACCACAATGAAGAATTCTTCTTTCAGGTTCTGCTTGGACTTTGCTTACGGACATTTCCGTGAAGCCAACATCCCTCTACGGTTGCAGCTCAGCTTTGAAGGACCTTCTTCCCCGGCGATGATAACCCTCAACGCTTTCATAGACAGACAGTGGGGGAAAGAGATCCGGGTACCAACCCATATCCGTCCAGGAGAGAAGTTCAAGATGCAACTCATTGTCACCTGGAAAGGCTACAAGGTTGTGTACAGGAATAGGTTGTCCTTCTTGAAGAAAAGGATGGACGTGGATTGGGTGAGGGAGGTGGAAATGCCTTTGCTACCGAAAGGGCCGCATTTAGCAGGGAAAGTTATAGGGTGGTTGAAGGGGGACATGGTGAAGAATTCATGGCTGTCCAGGTACTGGAACCATAGTTTCCATCAAGCCAACATTGGTTATATTGGTCATCCCTGATCATAACTTGGGAGTCTTTCATGAGGAGGACCATAAGCTCTCTAGACCAGGGCTTCTTAAAACTTTTCCACTCGAGACCCCTTTGAGCTTGAGAAATATATATATGGGTGTATTTATGGGTGATGACACTCGTCGGACTGTTAGGTGTATTGTGTCCAAATTTCGTGTCAACTCATCCAGTGGTATTTGAGTTATGGATGTTGGGGTTCTTAGTGGATAGAGAAGCAGAATCAGCTAACATACACACAAAATATAGGAGTTTCATAGGCATTGTGGAATTCATAGCTGGTCTTGACATGGTTGGGTAACACGACCAATGACAGGAAGCCTTATTGAACAACCTAGAACCTCCCCATTGATTGAACCTCCCCATGAATAGAACTATCTGCCCAGATGTTGGGCTCTTAGTGGATACACACAAAATATAGGAGTTACACACAAAATATAGGAGTTACACACAAAATATAGGTGTTTCATAGGCATTGTGGAATTCATAGCTGGTCTTGACCAATGTCAGAAAGCCTTTTTGAGCGATCTAGACCCTCCCCATGGATAGAGCAATCTGCCTGGATGTTGGGGTTCTTAGTGGATGGAGAAACAGAATCAGCTAACGTACATACAACACATACAACAATAAGGTGGGGAGGGGGGAGAAAGGGAATGAGGGAAGTTGGCAAGAAAAAAATCCAACAAACCAAACAACCGTTAATGAAACAGAAATTAAGATCTTGGATTTGGACTGCGGCATGGAGGAGGGGAGGTGTTCCACCAGCCGAGGGGCCCCCATAAAGGTCGTGGTGGGGAGGGGGAGATGCGGGAAAAGGAGACCACAAATTCGGCCTAATTCGGATCGCTTATCTACATTAATAATTCCAAACCGGTCTCATATGGTAAATTGGTGTAACCAGGCTGGCGGGCCCTCAGGATTGAAGGTGGTGCTGTTGAACGCCAGATCTGTCAACGGTAAAACGAACTTTATCCAGGATCTAATCCTGGATGAGCGGGCAGATCTGGCGTGCATCACGGAGACCTGGTTGGATGAAGCTGGAGGTGTGAATCTAACCCAGCTTTGTCCTCCAGGTTTCTCCGTGCAGCACCAACCAAGATCCGGAGGGCGGGGAGGCGGGGTTGCAGTGGTCTATAGAGATTCCATCCATCTCACCAGGAGTCCCATCCCACAGTCAACAAATTTTGAATGCGTCCACCTGAGGGTGGGTGACCGGGACAGAATAGGGATTCTGTTAGTGTACCGTCCACCTCGCTGCACTACAGTCTCCCTACCTGAGCTAGCGGGGGTAGTCTCGAGCCTGGCGTTGGAGTCTCAACGGCTTCTCGTGCTGGGAGACTTCAATATCCATGCCGAGGCGACCCTCACAGGAGCGGCTCAGAACTTCATGTCTGCCATGGCAACCATGGGGCTGTCCCAACAAATATCTGGCCCCACCCACTGTGCTGGACATACATTGGACTTGGTTTTCTGCCAGGGATGGGAGCAAGGTGGCGGTGTGGAGGAGTTGACCATCTCTCCGTTGCCATGGACCGACCATTTCCTGGTCAGATTTAGGCTCACTGCGCCCCCCAACCTCTGCAAAGGTGGAGGACCCATTAAGTTGGTCCGCCCCAGGAGGCTTATGGATCCGAATGGATTCCTGACGGCTCTTGGGGATTTTCCCGCCACCTTGGTAGGTGACCCTGTCGAGGCCTTAGTCGCTCTCTGGAATGGAGAGATGGCCAGGGCAATCGACACGATCGCTCTGGAACGTCCCCTCTCAAGTAGCCGAGCTAAACCAGCTCCTTGGTTTACTGAGGAACTGGCAGTGATGAAGCGAAGGAAGAGGGAACTAGAGAGCGTGTGGCGTTCGGATCCGAGCGAGTCAAATCGAACACGGTTTGTGTCTTTTCTAAGGGCATATGCCGCGGCAATAAAAGCCGCAAAGAAAACTTTCTTTGCGGCTACTATTGCGTCTGCAAGGAACCGTCCGGCGGAGTTGTTCCGGATTGTCAGAGGTCTTTTAACTCCTGCCATCCCAGGCGGGAGCCCTGACAATTCGGCCACGCGCTGTGAAACATTTGCTCGGTTCTTTGCCGACAAAGTCGCTTTGATCCGTTCTGGTCTGGACACCATGTTAAATGCAGTCTCTGAGGATGTGACACAAGCACCTGCTTGTCCTATTTTGATGGATTCTTTTCAATTTGTGAAGCCCGAGGATGTGGACAAGATACTTGGAGGAATGAGGCCCACCACGTCCATCCTAGACCCCTGCCCATCCTGGCTTCTGAAGGAGGCCAGAGGGGGATTGGCTGAGTGGGTAACGGTGGTGGTTAATGCCTCCCTTCGGGAAGGCAAGATTCCAGCGAGCTTAAAACAAGCTATAATAAAACCGCTGTTGAAGAAACCATCACTGGACCCCACTAAATTTGACAACTTTCAGCCTGTTTCCAATCTCCCCTTTTTGGGCAAAGTCCTGGAAAGCGTGGTGGCCTCACAACTCCAGGTATTCTTGAGAGACACGGATTATCTGGACTCGGCACAGTCTGGTTTCAGACCGGGACATGGAACTGAGACGGTCTTGGTCGCCTTAGTGGACGATCTGCGCCGGAAGCTAGACAGGGGGAGTGTGTCCCTGTTGGTGCTCCTGGACCTCTCAGCGGCCTTCGATACCGTCGACCACGGTATCCTTCTGGGGCGCCTTGCGGAATGGGCCTCGGGGGCACTGTTCTGCAGTGGCTCCGGTCATTTCTGGAGGGCCGCACCCAGAAGGTGTTATTGGGGGACACCTGTTCAACGCCACAGCCTTTGACTTGTGGGGTTCCACAGGGCTCTATACTGTCCCCCATGCTGTTTAATATCTACATGAAGCCGCTGTGTGAGATCATCCGGAGTTTCGGGGTGCGGTGTCATCTGTACGCAGATGATGTCCAACTCTGTCACTCCTTCCCACCTGCTACTAAGGAGGCTGTCGAGGTCCTGAACCGGTGCCTGGCCGCTGTAATGGTCTGGATGAGGGCGAACAAATTGAAATTAAATCCAGACAAGACAGAGGTACTCCTGGTCAGTCGCAAGGCCGAACAGGGTATAGGGTTACAGCCTGTGCTGGATGGGGTCGCACTCCCCTTGAAGGCGCAGGTTCGCAGCTTGGGTGTGATCCTGGATTCATCGTTGAGCCTGGATCCCCAGGTTTCAGCGGTGACCAGGGGAGCATTTGCACAGCTCAGGCTCGTGCGCCAGCTGCGCCCGTACCTTGGGAAGTCTGACTTGGCCACGGTAGTACACGCTCTGGTCACATCCCGCCTTGACTACTGCAATGCTCTCTACGTGGGGCTGCCCTTGAAGACGGCCCGGAAGCTTCAGCTAGTCCAGCGCTCGGCAGCCATGTTACTAACGGGAGCGGGACGCAGGGAGCACACAACGCCCTTGCTGTACCAGCTCCACTGGCTGCCGATTTGCTACCGGGCCCAATTCAAGGTGCTGGTGTTGGCCTACAAAGCCCTAAACGGTTCCGGCCCAAAATACCTGTCTGACCGCATCTCGGCCTATGAGCCCACGAGGACCTTGAGATCGTCTGGGGAGGCCCTTCTCTCCATCCCGCCTGCCTCACAGGCACGCCTGGCGGGGACGAGGGATAGGGCCTTCTCGGTGGTGGCCCCCCGGCTGTGGAACACCCTCCCTGTAGACATCAGACAGGCGCCCTCCCTTATGACATTCCGCAAGAGACTAAAGACGTGGTTGTTTGAGAAGGCGTTTGACTAAGTGCTACGACAAATTGGCAATGATGATTGGAACGGAATATGGATAACGAGATTGGATTGTGATTCTATGATGAGACGTCGCGAATGATTTAGTGTAATTTTATATTTGATAGTGATGCTGTTACTGTTGTTTAGGATATTGCTCTTATTGTAAATTGTCTTTTTTATATGCTGTACACCGCCGTGAGTCGCCCTAGGGCTGAGAACGGCGGTCTACAAATGCAGTAAATAAATAAATAAATAAATATAGGAGTTTCATAGCCATTGTGGAATTCGTAGCAGATCTTGGCATGGTTGGGTAACACGACCAATGACAGGAAGCCTTATTGAGCGACCTAGAACCTCCCCGTGGATAGAACAATCTGCCCAGATGTTGGGTTCTTAGTGGATATACACAAAATATAGGAGATTCATAGGCATTGTGGAATTCATAGCTGGTCTTGACATTGTTGGGTAACACGACCAATGTCAGGAAGCCTTAATGAGAAACCTAGAACCTCCCCATGGATAGAGCAATCTGCCCGGATGTTGGGGTTCTTAGTGGATGGAGAAACAGGATCAGCTAACGTACACACAAAATATAGGAGTTTCATAGTCATTGTGGAATTCGTAGCTGATCTTGACATGGTTGGGTAACATGACCAATGACAGGAAGCCTTATTGAGTGACTTAGAACCTCCTCATGGAGAGAGCAATCTGATCAGATGTCGGGGTTCTTAGTGGATGGAGAAACAGAACCAGCTAACTTACACCTTGAATATATGAATTTCATAGGCATTGTCAGAATATATGCACTCACCTGTCACTCCCATCAATTTCTTTTGTCAGATAATGGAGAACGACACCTTTCTGTGCGATTTTGAGCACCGCCTTCCCGTAAACAAGATCGTTTTCCTGAAGATGATTGGAGACATCAAACTCGAGAATCTGAAATCAAGCTGGGAGAACAGCAACACAAGGAGGAGGCTTCGTTGACCACGGCCACAAGCGCATTCGGGCATTTGGACTGGAGTGGAATCAAAAGGCAAACGTTTATCTGTGACTGCAATGGGTGCAATCTAAGTTTTCTGTCTCGGATCGATTTTAAGTCACCATTCCTGTCCCCCATTCGTTCCCATAAAATCTGAACCCACGTTTTCCAATTATAATCTTTACATAGCAATGGGAGATTGCACTGCTTATACTCAGGTACGTCCACAGCTTGAGAGCAGCAGAGCTGTGGGATGTAAATAATTTTAGCTGCCATCTTTCTCACATGATTTGCATGCAAACGTTAGTACGTTTTATTATTAGTTAGTACATGCAAATGTATTATTCCCCAATTTACTCTAACCCTATGAATGAGAGCTCCACAAGTTATCAAAGTGCCCTGCTCAGGTCTTGCAAACCCAGAGCAACTATGGCTTCCTGGTTGGAGTAAATGTGGTCTTCCTCTTTTCCTCCCACCTTCCATTTAACCATTTCAGCTTCTAGGTCAGTGATTCTCGACCTCACAACCTCTGAGGATGTCTGCCATAGATGCAGGCGAAACGTCAGGAGAGAATGCTACCAGAACATGGCCATGCAGCCCAAAAAACCTACAACAACCCAGGTTCTCAGCCTTCCTAATGCTACGACCCCTTAATATAGTTGTGGTGACCCCCCCCCCCCAAGAATAAATTTATTTTCGTTGCTACTTCATAACTGTAATTTTGCTTCCGTTATGAATCGTAATGTAAGTATCCGATATGCAGGATGTATTTTCATTCACTGGACCAAATTTGGCACAAATACCCAATACGCCCAAATTTGAATACTGATGGGGTGGGGTGGGGGGTATTGATTTTGTCATTTGGGAGTTGTAGTTGCTGGGGTTTATAGTTCACCTACAATCAAAAAGCATTCTGAACTCCACCAACGATGGAATTGAACCAAACTTGGCACTAGGAACTCCCATGAACAGCAGAGAATACTGAAACTCGTTGACCTTGAGTTTTGGAGTTGTAGTTCACCTATACCCAGAGAGCATTGTGGTCTCAAACAATGATGGATCTGGACCAAACTTGGCACAAATACTCATCATGCCCAAATGTGAACACTGGTGGTTTGGGGAAAATAGACCTTGACATTTGGGATTTGTAGTTCACCTACAATCAAAGAGCATTCTGAATTCCACCAATGATGGAACTGAACCGAGCTTGGCACCCAGAGTTCCCATGACCAACAGAAAATACTGGAAGGGTTTGGTGGACATTGACCTTTATTTTTGGAGTTGTAGTTCACCTACATCCAGAGAGCACTGTGGACTCAAACAATGATGGATCTGGACCAAACTTGGCATGAATACTCAACATGCCCAAATGTGAACACTGGTGGAGTTTGGGAAAAATAGACCTTGACACTTGGGATTTATAGTTCACCTACAATCAAAGAGCATTCTGAATCCCACCAATGATAGATTTGGGCCAAACTTCCCACACAGAACCACCATGATCAACAGAAAATACTGCGTTTTCTGATGGTCTTTGGCGGCCACACTGACACGCCCCTTGCGACCCCCTCCAGGGGGTCCAGACCCCCAGGTTGAGAAATGCTGCTCTATGGAAAGAGATAGTATATGCCTCCTTTTCTCAAAGGAAAAGGAAGGAGTGCATTTTGGAATCATTTTACGTTGCAGGGAGTCACGTTCTGCTGTACGGAAAACAAGGATCTGATCCTTGGCATTTTGGTGATTTAGAAGAAGTTTTGGCATGATGGAATTTTTTGGAACTATGCGTTGGCAGCTTGCAGGGAAGCAGGATCTCAACTAAACAGGTGCTTCTCCAAGGAGGGAGGAAGGACATGGTGATGGATGCATGTAAGTGTGTGTAAACGTTGAGTAAAAATGTAACCCCCTTCTTTGTTAGTCAATGTAACAGTAAGTTGCTGTGAATTCAATGTAGTTACATAGAATCTGTATGTCTAATGTCTTTCATAGAATCTGAAGAGACTTGGTGGGCCATTCAGTCTAGCCAAGTTGCAGGAAAATCACATTCAAGCACCCCCGACAGATGGCCATCCAGCCTCTGCTTAAAAGCCTCCAAAGAACGAGCCTCCAACACACTCTGGGGCTGAGAGTTCCACTGCTGAACAGCTCTCACAGTTCTTCCTAATGTTCAGGTGGAATCTTTTTTTGCTATAGTTTGAATCCATTGTTCCTTTGCGTACGGTGTCACCTGTATGCAGATGATGTCCAACTCTGTTACTCCTTTTCACCTGCTACTAAGGAGGCTGTTCAAGTCCTGAACCGGTGCTTGGCCGCTGTAACGGACTGGATGAGGGCAAACAAATTGAAACTAAATCCAGGCAAGATGGAAGTACTCCTGGTCAGTCGTAAGGCCAAACAGGGCATACGGTTACAGCCTGTGTTGGAGGGGGTTACACTCTCCCTGAAGGTGCAGGTTTGTAGCTTGGGAGTGATCCTGGACTTATTGCTGAGCCTGGAACCCCAGGTTTAAATAAATAATAAATAAATAAATTTGCATTCTAGTCTCCATGGCAGCAGAAAACAATCCTATGACTTCCCCTCACATATTTATACATGGCCCTCATCATGTCTCCTCTCAGCCTTCTCTTCTGAAGGCTAAACATGCCCAGCTCTTTAAGCCGCTCCTCATAGGGCTTGTTCTCCACACCCTTGATCGTTAGCTGAAGAGCCGGCGTTGTCCGTAGACACCTTCAAAGTCATGTGGCCACTGGCATGACTGCATGGAGCGCCCTTACCTTCCTGCCAGAGTGGTACCTATTGCTCTACTCACATTTGCATGTTTTTGAACTGCTATATGAATTGGAAATCATTCTATCTATCCATCTTTTACAACTTGGCAACATACACATGTTGGCAGAGCAACAGTGAGTGCGTATGGGTGTGAGGAGTTGTGAAAATATAGTGGAATTAATGCACATGCAAGATCATCCCCACAATAACCCCTCAAGACATGCACTCCAGCAGAGCCTCTTATTTCCCGCGTGACTGTGTGTATTTGAGGGGAGAGTTGAGGAAATATAGTAAAATTAACATCCATGTAGGTATTAGGTTCTTGTAGGTTTTTTCGGGCTATATGGCCATGTTCTAGAGGCATTTCTCCTGACGTTTCGCCTGCATCTATGGCAAGCATCCTCAGAGGTAGTGAGGTCTGTTGGAAATAGGAAAATGGGTTTATATATCTGTGGAATGACTGGGGTGGGGCAAAGGTATTCTCCACAACTTCCTTTCAACATAGACATTGCCATATTATCCACACCCATATGTGTATGCGTGTGTGTGTGTGTGCATGCACTACATCTCCCCCCAAAGAAAGGAGACAAAGAGCGAGGGAAGGTTGGCCACAGCAACGCGTGGCAGGTACAGCTAGTAAATAAATACATAAAATAAATATACCCTCGCATACTGAAAATTGCAATGCAAAGAACCTTTGTGTAAAAAGTATTCATGACAGCAGTGGGCAAAAAAACCACAACAGACCCATCATCCTTAAAAATATTACACTTTATTGTTTTGTTCCCAAGAAGGGAGGAGGGCAAGTTTCCCCAGAAAGCTTGGAAGTTTTAGAGAAGACGTGATGATGAACGGAGGTGGACAGAAACCCAGCTACTCCCTATCGGCTGAATCATCCGCCCCTTGAGACAGGGATTCAGTAGCGAACGCAATAAAATAAGCTAAACCTTTCCGAGACGACAAAAAAAGAAAGAAGAGAGAACCAAAATGAAAGCTCGATGATCCCAAAGGGGAGGAAAGAAAAAAAATATGTGGGGAATGTTACAGTTTCCAGTGCTACCATCAGCCATAACATTAAGGTACATGATGAAAGGACGAAGACGAGGGAAAGAAATCCCCCCGCGGAAAAAAAGAAGAAAAAAAGAGACCAAAACAAAACAAAAAGCCACACCACCCATCGGCAATATACGATGCTAGATGAATATATATATTTAATAATAATAATAATAAATCTGGACGTTATTAAATCGAAACAGTTTTGCTGTGTTTTTAAATTTCTCTCCTTTTTATTTTTCTTAAAAAAAAGATCTCCGCATGGTTCTCTTCCGTTTTAAATTTTGGTCCTCAGAAAACCCTGCACCATGATGAAGAAATTACAAAAAAATAGATATATATAATATATTTATATATATATATAAGCGTGAGAAGCGATGGGATTTTTTTTTCTTTTCTTAAAGGGTTGTTTTCAAAAAAGTGAAGAGAAAGTGAGGAAGACTTAAGAACGAGCGAGTTGCTTCTGCCCTGCGAGGGAAGGAGAGAGAGAGCGGCTGAGCGGAACAAACGTGAGGCGCCCAGAAGGACTTGCTTCGGATGCCGTCCCCGGTTTCCCTGTCGTCCAAGGATGCGAACGGGACATTTGGGGTGGAGTGGGTGGTCCTCCCCACAATCTCAATCACGGTGGGGTGGGTGGTCCTCCCCACAACCTCAGATACCGTGGGGTAGGTGGTCCTCCCTACAACCTCAGATAGTGTGGGGTGGATGGTCCTCCTCACAACCTCAGCGTGGGATGGATGATCCTCCCCACAACCTCAGATAGCGTGGGGTGGATGGTCCTCCTCACAACCTCAGATAGCGTGGGTTGGGTGGTCCTCCCCACAACCTCAGATAACATGGGGTGGATGGTCTTCCTCACAACCTCAGATAGCGTGGGGTGGATGGTCCTCCCCACAACCTCAGATAGCGTGGGGTGGATGGTCCTCCCCACAACATCAGATAGCGTGGGGTGGATGGTCCTCCTCACAACCTCAGATAGCGTGGGCTGGGTGGTCCTCCCCACAACCTCAGATAGTGTGGGGTGGGTGGTCCTCCCCACAACCTCAGATAGTGTGGGGTGGATGGTCCTCCTCAACACCTCAGATACCGTGGGGTGGATGGTCCTCTCCACAACCTCAGATAGCATGGGGTGGGTGGTCCTCCCTACCTCAGATAGTGTGGGGTACATGGTCCTCCCCACAACCTCAGATAGTGTAGGGTGGATGGTCCTCCTCACAACCTCAGATAGCGTGGGGTGGATAGTCCTCCCCACAACCTCAGATAGTGTGGGGTGGGTGGTCCTCCCCACAACCTCAGATAGCATGGGGTGGATGGTCCTCCTCACAACCTCAGATAGTGTAGGGTGCATGGTCTTCCCCACAACATCAGATAGCGTGGGGTAGGTGGTCCTCCCCACAATTTCAGACATGATTCAAGACTATTCCCGGAACCCCTACAGATCACCAATTTCACTTCATTTCTCTCTCATCAAACCCAAACATTCCTCTTCCAACTATTATCTACCCCAAACCAACCTGGTTCTGGAAAAAAAGAGGGAGGAAATGGACACATCCTACTTCTATGATGGATGCTCGACTTCCAGCCCTTGGAAGAAAGTTAAGAGACCCCCCAACCTGTTTATGTTGCTTGGTTTGTATTGCTGAAAGACATGTGTTCCTAGATTTTTTATAAAATGAGTGTCTTTATGGGGAAGGGGCTGACTTACAAAGCCAGATGCAGGCCCCCAAAAGGTATTTCTCCATCACCGATAAGGGATCGGGGAATACGAGGCTTACGAAGAGAGGCACAGCCTCCGCACCCATGTTGGAAGGACCCCACAAAGCAACCAAAATATCACCTTCTTCTCCTCTGTGCCCTGTCACACTGAAATTGAAAAATTCTGTCAATCAGAAGGTTCTCGGTGAAGTGATGGGTGCCGATATCTTATAAAAATAGGGGAGGTGCCAAGTCCAGAAGGCATTTTGTACTGAGAGGGCAAATGGATCAAAGAACAGCACTATGCGACGGCAGAACTGAGAACGTATATTGGAAGCCCCAAAGTGCCGACCCCTCTATGTCTTCTTCGTTGCTAAAGGTGGCAAGAAGGTATTATTAGGTGGGCAAAGTAGGATGTGAGGGAGTTCCCTGGGCAAGTGGTAAAAAAGGCAAGGTGAGGCTATATCCCGACAACCTAGCACAGCTAGCAGAAGGTGAGGAAAGGAACGGAGTACCCAGGAAGTGTATTGTAGGCAGCTCGGTTCTGGATTGCATTGAGTGCCGACATGCCACTGTTATAAAGGCATGGTTTTGGTTACCCATGCACGATTAAAAAAATTGGGGAGGGAGAAAGAGAGAATGGGATAAGTGTCAGCCAAGTTCTCCCAACTTTGAGAGCAGATGGGGAATAGAATTGGATCTATATTTAACAAAAATAAGTCATATTGAGCCACAATCGCCATATTTTGACAATTGCCGTATTTCCATCCGAGAGAAAAGAGAAAGAGAAGGGTCAGGAAATTGAAGAGACCTCCAGCCTCTCCCCTGAGCTCACTGTCTTGGGGTAAAAGGAAGAATAAGGACCGTTGCATAGGTAACCGCGTTTGCAGAATACTCAATTTTTTTAAAAAAACTGAACGTTTACATCAGTCAGCGCCCAAGGTTGCCCAGCATGGTGACGGCAGCTTTCTGTCCTCAAAGAGAGAAAGAGAGAGAGATTGAGAAAAGAAAGAGAAGGACACAATGTCCCCGTTGCTCTGTGTGTGTCTGTGTGTGTTTGTGTCTGTGATTATACAGCATGGAGGGAAATCAAACGGTTACTCCCCCTGCCCTCCCCCCAAGAAGCGCCAGCGCTTGCTGTTGCCGCGGCTTCCTCCTCCTCCTCTTCCTCCTCCTCTTCCTCCTCCTCCACCGCCTCCATCTCACAGGTCGCTCTCGCCATACAGAGCTGTAGAGAAGGACTTGTAGTCAAGGGCCCCGGGGATGGCGTCGGGTCCCTGGTAAGGTGCCATGCGGGCGATGCAGTACTCGGCCTGGTCGGGAGGAAGCTCTCGTCGCAGCTCCTCGGCCGTGATGTAGTTCTGAAAGGGAGAAAGGCGTGGTGAAATGAAAATCACACGTAGTTCACGTTTTTACCAGTCCACACACAGTCTTGCCAGAGAAAATAATAATAATAATAATAATAATAATAATCACAAGCCAGAAAATGTTACAGAAAATGAACACATCAGGCTCCTCTGGGACTTCTGAATAATAACAACAACAACAACTACTACTACTCGGAAAAAGGAGACAAAGGAGGGCCTGATTCTAGCAGCCCAAGAACAAGCCATTAGAACCAATGCCATCAAAGCCAGAATTGAAAAGTCGATGACAGCTCCCAAATGTAGACTCTGCAAGGAAGCAGATGAAACAATAGATCCCATCCTCAGCTGCTGCAAGAAGATCGTGCAGACAGACTACAAGCAGAGGCACAACACCATTACTCAGATGATTCATTGGAACTTGTGCCTCAAACACCATCTGCCTGCAACAAAGAACTGGTGGGATCACAAGCCGGAAAGAGTTACAGGGAATGAACACGCCAAACTCCTCTGGGACTTCCGGATTCAGACAGATAGAGTTTTGGAGCATAATAATCCAGATCTCACAATCATGCTAAAAAACAAAGTATGGATTGTTGATGTTGCAATCCCAGGTGACAGCAGGATTGAAGAGAAACAACTGGAAAAGCTGACACAATATGAGGATTTAAAGATTGAACTGCAAAGACTCTGGCACAAGCTAGTCAAGGTGGTCCCAGTGGTGATCGGCATACTGGGTGCAGTACCTAAAGACCTTGGCCTGCACTTAAACACAATTGGCGCTGACAAAATTACCGTCTGCCAGCTGCAGAAGACCACCTTACTGGGATCTGCACACATTATTCACCGATACATCACACAGTCCTAGACACTTGGGAAGTGTCTGATGTGTGATCCAATACAACACCCAGCAGAGTGTCTGCTGTGGACTCATCTTGTTGTGTTTCTAATAATGATAATAATGATAATGATAGGGCCTGATTCTTGCAGCCCAGGAGCAAGCCATCAGAACCAATGTAATTAAGGCCAGGTTATATTGTAGTACAGATAGGTATATACAGCCTTGCTCTCTAATCTTTCAGCCTCCTTTTCAGTCACATTTCTGGCCTTCTCTATGTAATAAGTTTATGGTTTTCCAAATCCATGTACAGGTTAAGCATTCCATTATTCAAAATAATCAAAACTGTCTGTGTGGGCCACTGAGATAGTTATATTTTTGCTATTTTTTGGTTCACGCTTTGTTTCATGCACAAAATTATTTAAGTACTGTTCAAAATGATCTTCAGGCTATATGTATAAGAAACTTAACAACTGATACGCATGTTTAGACTTCAGCCCCATTGCCAATATATTTTATTACGCATATATATGCTGCAACAGGTAGTCCAAAATCTTAAAAATATACAAAATACTTCTTATCTTAGCATTTTGAATAAGGTATATTCAACCTGAATCTATAACATAATATAATGTATTAATATAATATAATGTATATACATGTAATATTTATATTGTAATGTAATGCAATATAATACTAATAATAATATATTATAATTATATATTTATATTACATGTAACATTACTAATAATATCACAATATAATGGTATAGTACAATATAGTAATATTTAATACTGATATTGTGCTATGCTAATAATATAATATATTGTATGTATATATACCTTGTAAGCCGCTCTGAGTCCCCTTCGGGGTGAGAAGGGCGGCATAGAAATGTCGTAAATAAACAAATAATACTCTCTCTCTTTCTCGTTTCACTGCTTTCCTATCAACAATGAATATGTTCTCCCACTTTCGATGTTAAAAATCTTAGTGCACACAGTAATTCAATAAAAATATTGAAAAAATGCTTGTAAGTCAAGGTTCCACTATATATGTAAATTCTGGCTACCCAAACCCAACAATTCCAGGACCAAGAGAGTTCCCAGGAAAGACAAATGCTTCCAGCCACATTGTAGAGCTCACCTTGTCACCAGCTAAGACTTTGAAGGAGGCAATGACTTGGTCAGCCGTATCCGTGTCTGTCGTCTCCCGGGACATGAAGTCAATGAAGGCTTGGAAGGTGACAACGCCACTGTTGTTGGGATCCACAACGCTCATGATCCTGTTGAACTCCGCGTCTCCCTGGCAAGGTGGGGAGAAAAGGCAAGACGAAGCAGCTTAAACAACTGCAAAGGCTTCAACTCGTGTGTGTATGGAGCACAACAGAACCTGGTGTGCTTGTGGAATATGGAGGCCAAAACATCCCAAAGACCAGCTGTCTTGTTGTAAGAAGCTGAAACAGCATACAGCACCTATTGTGATATGTGTACTTGTGCGGACTCATGTATTAATATATTTGGTGTTTGCATAAAACTATTATTTTTGGTTCTGCCAATGGATTGAGTTTCTAAATATCACTCCATTCAGGTGGTTCTCTTTGTAGCTATCTTTTGTAATGTTTTTGTTCAAAATGATGACTTGAGAATCCCATATTGTATGTCCAGAAAGGTTGCAATGCTCTGCAACTTATGTTAGCATATTGGCACTTTTAATGCCAGATTTATTTATCTCCTCTCGTGTAGAAAATGTCCAATATAGACCATAGAACAGTGGTTCTGAACTTGTGGGTCCCCAGATGTTTTGGCCTTCAATTCCCAGAAATCCTAACTGACTGGGATTTCTGGGAGTTGTAGGCCAAAACACCTGGGGACCCACAGGTTGAGAACCACTGCCATAGAAGGACACTGCTGATGTAAGATGGCATATCTTGAAGGACAAGCAAGTAAATGCACCTATGTCAGTGTGGGTGATATTATTATTCCCTCCAATATTGCTATCAGACTAGTTGAGGAAGTTATCTCTATTGACATCTCTACGTTGATATTTGGTAACACGGAAATGTATTTCAGTTGAAATCGGTTCAGATCTGCATATGAAGAAATGACATGATTGGCATCTATCTATCATTTTTGTAATTCTGTCCAAACCTGTCCTCCATCTTGAAAGTACAACCGAGTGAAATATTGGTCAGAAATATTAAAAATTAATGAGGTATTTTTAATTACAAAAATGTGAGTCAAGCTCTGAAAGGGTTAAACGGAGGCAACAACACAGCAAAAGCTGCAGTTTAATATAAGCAGGTGTGCCTGTAGCTGTTGGTTTGAAGTAAACCTCAGTGGGAGAATAGGCCTCATTGTTAGTGTAAGGTAGGCCTTAGTCTGTGAGAGAAGCCACTGTGTGAGGTAAGCAATGACTCAGCAAAATCTGAAGTTCTATATAAGCAGGTGTGTCTGTAGCTTAGTAGCCGTCAGTCTGAGGTAAACCTCAGTGGGAGAATAGGCCTCATTGTTAATAGACCTAAATGTGAGGTAGACCTTAATCTGTGAGAGAAGCCACTGTGTGAGGTAAGCCTCGGTATAAGACTGCTCTCGTGTGTGAAGCTCCAGTGTGAAGGCTGAACTTTATTTATGTTATGGAAAACTTGTTATTGTAAATAGTAAAGTATATTATTTTGCTATAAAGAAAAGCCTCTAATGGAAGAGACAACATTGGTCTGTGTGTAAAAAGCTACTGTGTGAAGCTCCAGTATTAGTTCGTTGTGAGAGGAGGCTCAGTGAGAGCGAGGCTGTTTATCTCCATGAGGAAAAAGCCCATCATGGAAGCAAAGAAGGAAGTATAAAGGACTTTATTTGTGTTTTGGAAACCTTGCTCTTGTAAATAGTGCAACTATATTATTTTACCACAAAGAAAAGCCTCATATGGAAGAGATAACATTCTTTTTATCACTTTGGGATGCTGGTTTAATTACAAGTTAATTACAAAAATGCGAGTCAAGCACTGAAAGGGTTAAATGGATGCAATGACTCAGCAAAAGCTATAGTTCTATATAAGCAGATGTGCCTGTAGCTTAGTAGGCCTCTGTGTTAGTTTGCCTCAGTGGGAGAAAGTTCTCAGTCTGTGAGAAGGCCTCACAGTGTGAGGCAGTCCTTAGTCTGTGAGAGATGCCTCTGTGTGAGGTAAGCTTCAGTATGAGAAGGCCTCATGTGTAAAGCTCTAGAGTGAAGGTTGAACTTTAATGATGTTATGGAAATCTTGTTCTTGTAAATAGTGCAGCAATATTATTTTACTACAAAGAAAAGTATCCTATGGAAGAGATAACACTAGTCTCTGTGTTTTTGTTCCTTTTATCACTTTGGGCTACTGGTTTAATTACAAGTTAATTACAAAAATGCGAGTCAAGCACTGAAAGGGTTAAATGGATGCAATGACTCAGCAAAAGCTGTAGTTCTATATAAGCAGATGTGCCTGTAGCTTAGTAGGCCTCTGTGTTAGTTTGCCTCAGTGGGAGAAAGTTCTCAGTCTGTGAGAAGGCCTCACAGTGTGAGGCAGTCCTTAGCCTGTGAGAGAAGCCTCTGTGTGAGGTAAGCCTTGGTATGAGAAGGCCTCATGTGTGAAGGTTGATTTGTAATGATGTTATGGAAATCTTGTTCTTGTAAATAGTGCAGCAATATTAATTTAGTACAAAGACAAGAATCCTATGGAAGAGATAACATTGGTCTCTGTGTTTTTGTTCCTTTTATCACTTTGGGCTACTGGTTTAATTACAATTTAATTACAAAAATGTGAGTCAAGCACTGAAAGGGTTAAATGGTTGCAATGACTCAGCAAAAGCTGTAGTTCTATATAAGCAGATGTGCCTGTAGCTTAGTAAGCCTCTGTGTTAGTTTGCCTCAGTGGGAGAAAATTCTCACACTGTGAGAAGGCCTCACAGTGTGAGGTAGTCTTTAGTCTGTGAGAGAAGCCTCTGTGAGAGAAGGCCTCATGTGTGAAGCTCCGGAGTGAAGGTTAAATTTTAATGTTATGGAAATATTATTCAATTCTCAGTCTGTGAGAAGGCCTCACAGTGTGAGGTAGTCTTTAGTCTGTGAGAGAAGCCTCTGTGTGAGAAGGCCTCATGTGTGAAGCTCCGGAGTGAAGGTTAAATTTTAATGATGTTATGGAAATCTTATTCTTGTAAATAGTGCAGCATTATTTTACTACAAAGAAAAGTATCCTATGGAAGAGATAACATTAGTCTCTGTGTTTTTGTTCTTTTTATCACTTTGGGATACTGGTGATGGGTCACGCTGCTGCTAAGTTACTCTGCTGTGCATTTATGAGGAGGATCTTTTGTTATTAAGCCTACTTGCCCAACAATATCTAACAGACACACACAGCCCCTCCTAAGCTGGGCACAACAGCAGACAGATAGCAGTAACATTCATTGCGACACCGCTACCACCATTGGCAAGGCAAAGAGGAGAAAAGGGAAAAGCAGAGCGCATACCAGGCTGTATCCTGTGGAGATAAGGAGGGCTCGGTAGTCATCGGTGTCCATGCTCCCCGTGCGCTTCTACTCCGCGAGGCCAGCAGGAGAAGGAAGGAATGAAGGAAGGAAGGAAGAAGGTGCGGACGGATAAGGCATGCACAAGAGGAAGGGAGGAAAGAGCAAGAGCCCCATGGAGAGAGAAAAGGGCGCAGAGAGAAAGAGAGAAAGTCAGTCAGGAAAAAAAGTCATTGAGATGCCATGCAACCAGAAGATGGAGGGTGGGAGGGAGATGGGGAAATGGGAACAGGTCATCCAGAGAGAGAGGAAACATCAACAACAAGATGGTCGGAGGAAGAGGAGGGTCGGAAAACAAACGTGGTGAAGGAAGAGAGAAAGGAGACCAGGTTAATCGCAACACACTGCCAGAGGACTTGCGCCGTTAACGGGCGTCGGGTACCTGTCTGTCATTTTCCACATCGTATCCCAAGCTGATGAGGCAAGCTTTGAACTCTTCTGGTCCGAGGGAGCCGCCGTGGTCCTGCCGCCGGGCCACGCACAGGAAGGAGTGGCGTGGAGGGGAGGAAAAGGCGGTGGGATGTCCCGTGTGCACACGACAGACAAGGGAGGTGATGTGGAGGGGAAAAGACACACCGTTAGTTCAGGGCTGGAGGAGGGCAGGGAGACCAACACCTTCTCCAGTTTGTAAACTCAGGTTGGATGGAGGATGAAGCCTTCGGGAGAGGCGCAGGGAGGATCCTCGGCAACACACACCTAACACTGGAAATGTTCCTCTCCAATTCAGCTTGGGCCATTCGTTTCACAGTGTAGGCAAGCCAGAAATGGCAAACACGTTTTCCCAGAGATGCAAGCTGTAGCCACAACTTACATTTTAGAGACAGCTCACTTATACCTGGCAGCCTCAAGAAAATGTAGCTAGTGACATGGTTTAAGGACCCATTGCAGGTTAGCTATCGGTCACAGCGCATTCACACTACAGCAGGATGGCCGTCATTGTCAATGAGGATTATAGAAGTTGTTGTCCAAGAGCCCTGCTGACTGGGGAGAGCTGTGATCCATTTCTGTATGGGTGGATTTGTGTCATGCAATGTGGGGAGAGATTACATGTAAAAAACCAAGTCACAAGCTTGACTGTGAGGAGTGATGATGAAGGCCAACACAATAATCCCCGACATGGACTCCCTTCATATGCTGCCAAGTGTTTTGGAAACAAACTCTCGCCATCAGGACGCAGCTGATGAAGTGTTAGGCTGGGATGAAAGTAATCCAGGAGAAAAATCCCTATTCAGTAATCAGTCAGTCTTTGAAGCTGCAAGGCCATTCAATGCTAATTAAGATGGCCAATTGCAACATTCACATTTGCCTCGAGCAGACAAGAGCTCTTTCTCCCAGGTTTTGATTTGAGTACTTTGATTAGCATTGAATGGCCTTGCTAATCAAGGTATTGTCGAAGGCTTTCATGGCCAGAATCACTGGGTTGTTGTTAAGTTTTCCGGGCTGACTGAAATAAATGTTTTGATTTGAATACCTTGATTAGCATTGAATGGCCTTGCAGCTTCAAAACCTGTCTGCTTCCTGCCTGGGGGAATCTTTTGTTGGGATGTTATGAAGCAATCAGGGCCAGCTAACACTTCCCAACGCTAATCAAGGTGTCCAATTGCAACATTCACATTTGCCTCAAGTAGACAAGAGTTCTTTCTCCCACCTTGGACTTTCCACAGATGTAGAAACCTCACTTGCCCTGTTTCCCAACAGACTTCACAACCTCTGATAATGCCTGCCATGGATGTGGGTGAAACGTCAGGAGAGAATGCTTTTGGAACAGGGCCATACAGATCAGAAAACTCACAGCAATCCAATCCCCAGCAATTCAGACACATTATTAAGAGCAACCAAGACAGTAAAACCGCTCTGAGTCGCCTCTGGGCTGAGAAGGGCAGTATATAGCTATGTAAATAAATAAATGGACGGATGGATGGATGGCCTGGAAAGCAAGCCTTATCAAGAATAACTTAGGAAGTTTGAAATGTGTCACTTCAAAATGACAGCCCCCCCCCCTAATTATTTGAATGGACGTCATGTAGAAGATGCAGCCAACTTGCTTTCTGTTGCTCCAAGAACAAGAACATGAACTAATGGGCTCAAATGTCAAGAAAAGAGGTTTCACTCAAACATTAAATAGACCTTTTGATGGATCAACGCTGTTCAACAGTGAAACAGATGCATTTCAAGGGCAGCAAGCAATCCTTCTTTGGAAATCAACAAACAAATGTTACATGACCATCTCATTTCTGCATACCAGGGGGTTAGACTAGATGGCCCTTTGTGTCTTTAATAAGTAGTAATAATAATAATAATAATGCAAAGACTCTGGCACAAGCCAGTAAAGATGGTCCCAGTGGTGATTGGCACACTGGGTGCAGTGCCTAAAGACCTTGGCCTGCACTTAAACACAATCGGCGCTGACAAAATTGCCAGCTGCAGAAGGCCACCTTATTGGGATCTGCACACATTATTCACCGATACATCACACAGTCCTAGAGGCTTGGGAAGTGTCCGACTTGTGATCCAATACAACAGCCAGCACAGTGATCTTGTTTGCTGTGGACTCATCTTGTTGTGTTTCAAATAATAATAATAATAATAATAATAATAATAATAATAATAATAATAATAATAATTATTATTATTATTATTCGTGTCAGGGGCAACTTTAGAAACTGCAAGTCACTTCTGGTGTGAGAGAATTGGCCGCCTGCAAGGACATTGTCCAGGGGACACTCAGATGTTTGAGGTTTTACCATCCTTGTGGGAGACGTCTTGTATGTCCCCGTATGGGGAGCTGGGGCTGACAGAGAGAGCTCAACCGGCTCTCCCCGGATTTGAATCACTGCCCTATCGGTCAGCAGTCTTGCTGACACAAAGGTTTAACCAACTGCGCCACTGGGGGCTCTATAATAACTTTATTGTTGTACCTATGTTGCAATTGATTACCTTGATTAGCATTGAATAGCCTTGCAGTTTTAAAGCCTGGCTATTCAATGCTAATCAAGGTGATCAATTGCAGCGTCCACACTTGCCTCAAACAGACAAGAGTTCTTTCTCCCACCCTGGACATTATTCCACAGATATATAAACCTCACTTGCCTGTCTTCCAACAGACCTCACAACCTCTGAGGATGTCTGACATAGATGTGGGCGAAAGGTCAGGAGAGAATGCTTCTGGAACATGGCCATATAGCCCAGAAAACTCACAGCAACCCAGCCATGAAAGCCTTCGACCACATACCATGCACTCCTTAAAATCTACTCCATGAAGCTACAGTCTCGTTTGCTCCATGTTATGTTTGTCCCCATGTTGAACCCAAGTTACCTTATCAAAGTGGTTGAAGGAGGCCCGGAACTCTTGCATCTGCTCCTGGCTGATTCCCTTTGCGTCCCGGGTCAGGATCTGGTTCTCCACCTCATTGCTGGTCCGGGCAATGGTGGTGAGGAGCTGCTCCCAGCCTACACGAATATGCTGGCGATACAAGGCAGAAGAAGAGACAAGTTAAGTATCGCATTTGGTCTCCTTAGGGAGATTCTGCCATCAGTAGACACTCTCGCTGGCTCCCCTTGTTTCTTTTAATCACTGAGAAGTACTAGAAGGTGAGGAGTGGACAGCACAAAGGCATTCTGCTTCAGGACCCAACTTTAAATGCAGGAACAGGCCCTCTATCCCTCCCATTATGAGCTTTGACTATAGGCCAACCCATAGACTTTGGCCTTCGTTCCTCCCAGATAAGGTGGCTCCTTCTCCAGCGCCACTGCCCTCACCTCCATGGTGTAGTTGGTGTGCTTGTTGTCAAAGATGAGGGCCTCCTGGATGAGCTGGTGCTGCTGCTCCAGGACGTCGATGTTGGGTTTGTAATCAACGATGCTCTGCTCGTACTGCTTGAGGTGGTTCAGCTGGTCCTCCAAGGTGCCGTTCATTTCGATGGAAATGCGCCCAATCTCCTAGTGATGGGAAAGGAAAGAGAGAGAGGAAAATAATAATAATTTATTTTTTTTGGTCATGTCCGGAGCGACTTGAGATACTGCAAGTCGTTCTGGTGTAAGAGAATTGGCCGTCTGCAAGGACGTTGCCCGGGGACGCCCGGATGATTTGATGTTTTTATCATCCTTGTGCAAGGCTTCTCTCATGTCCCTGCATGAGGAGCTGGAGCTGATAGAGGGAGCTCAACCGCTTCTCCCCGGAGTCGAACCTGCGACATATCGGTTTTCAGTCCTGCCGGCACAGGGGTTTAACCCACTGCACCACCGGGGGCTCCTAATAATAAAATAAAACTTTATTTATACCCCGCCTCCATCTCCCCAAGGGACTCGGAGCGGCTTACATGAGGCCAAGCCCAACAACACATCAATAAACAAGAAAGCAATAACAAAAAATAACAACAATACAGTTAAATAAATCACATATAAACATTAACATGCAAGTATTAAAAAACCTATGGCTGGGCCAGATGTAATAGTTAAAAATTAAAAAATAAACGCTGGCCATGAACAAGGTAGGATATATCTAATACTAGCGGTCCCCTGCCCCGTGTTGCTGTGGCCCAGTCTGGTAGTCTGAGAAAAAAAGTAATGAGAAAGTGTTGGTTTCTAATATATGTAATGTTTTTTTGCTTGTGGATAAACAGTATTTCTTGCTGTTTCTTTGGCAGTGTTGATGTGGAGATTGTCTGGTTTGTCTACTCTGGAACATGCAACGTATTATTGTCCTTCTTTAGGGGTCCCTTTCAAATCTATGGTACTACCTCTGTCATAAATGTGTGTGTGTGTGTGAATCATATATATTTATCTATATCTATGGCTGGATGGCTCTTTGTCAGGAGGTTTTCATGCTCTGGTGAAGGGAGTTGAACTGGATGGCATTAAGTCAGCATTTCTCAACCTGGGGGTTGGGACCCCTGAGGGGGGTAGTGAGGGGGTGTCAGAAGGGTCACCAAAGACCACCAGAAAAACCAGTGTTTTCTGTTGGTCATAAGGGTTCAGTGTGGGAAGTTTGCCCCAATTCTGTCGGTGGTGGGGTTCAGAATGCTCCTTGATTATAGGTGAACTATAAATCCCAGTATCTACAACTCCCAAATGTCAAGGTCTATTTCCCCAAAACTCCATCTGTGTTTATATTTGGGCATATGGAGTATTCGTGCCAAGTTTGGTCCAGATCCATCATTGTTTGAGTCCACAGTGCTCTCGGGATGTAGGTGAACTACAACTCCAAAACCCAAGGTCAATGCCCACCAAACCCTTCTAGTGTTTTCTGTTGGTCAGGGAAGTCCTGTGTGCCAAGTTTGGTTCAATTCCATCATTGGTGGAGTTCAGAATGCTCTTTGATTATAGGTGAACTATAAATCCCAGCAACTACAACTCCCAAATGACAAAATCATAATTTTTGAGTGATGGTCACTCCTTGTGTAGTGAGACATTTTGTTGCAAAATTTGGTGTGATTTCGTTCATTGGTTCTTTTGTTGTTAAGGTACTCATTATGCACAAAGCATTTATATATATATAGATGAGGGTTTTAAAGAAGTGAGGGGAGTGCAATCCAACGGATAGTTAAAGTGCATTGGAGGACATTTTGCTGAAAAATATTTCCTTAAAAGGTGATGCCATGGAATTAGGAAAATCCGGTCCCTTCCAACCACTTCTGTCCCTTCTCCTTTCCAAACTCCCTAGATGTCCACTCCATTGGAAACACTGCTTGGCATAGTAAGCATGAGATTTCCTTGCTCTTGCATATGTCCATTTTATGGATTTTGGGGAGGCGGGAGTTCCCTTCCATCCTCTGCAGGTTCCAAACACCTTCTGGATGTACCATACAGCTTCAGAAGCCCCCTCCATATGGTTAGACGTGGCTGCTTGCCACTCAGAAAGCAACTACCCAGATAAGAAAACAGTTTCCCAAGGGCCAGCTAATATGTTCGGCGAGAGTGGGACCAGGGACTTTGTGACTTATTGCACTGGTAGCTTTTCCTCTGCCCATGTCTTTCCCCTTTCTTATGCCCTTTTCCATTTCTCCCAGGGGAAGAATGAAGAGCAAAGCCTCTCACCTCCATTTTGGTCTGGATCCAGGGCCCCACAATGTTGGCCTGGCTGGCAAACTGTCGGCGCAAGTGTTCGTTAGACTGCTGCTTGCTCTGCTCATCTTGCAAGGCATTGTCCCTCTTTGGCACCAGTTGTTGCACCTGTTCAAACCATCATCATCATCATCATCATCTCTCTCTCTCTCTATATATATATAGAAGTCAAAGTATGCATGTTTGTCTGTAAGTTTGAACCAAAAATGCTGTTGCTAGGTGAAGTGACCCTTTGTACTGTAACTGGCTTCAAGCTACGAGGAGAAGCGGGTAAGAAATTGTATTATTATTATTATTATTAACAACAATAATATTAATGTTATTCATATTATTATTTGATACACAACAAGATGAGTACACAGCAAACAAGATCACTATGCTGGCTTTTGTATTGGATCACACTTCGGACACTTTGCAAGTGTCTAGGACTGTGTGATGCATGGGTGAATAATGTGTGCAGATCCTAGTAAGGTGGACTTCTGCAACTGGCAGATGCTAATCTTGTCAGCGCCGATTGTATTTAAGTGCAAGCCAAGGTCTTGAGGCACTGCACCCAGTGTGCCGATCACCACTGGGACCACCTTGGCTAGCTTGTGCCAGAGTCTTTGCAGTTCAATCTCTAAATCCTCATATGTGTCAGCTTTTCCAGTTGTTTCTCTTCAATCCTTCTGTCACCTGGGATTGCGACATCCACGATCCACACTCTGTTTTTTAACACGATTGTGAGGTCAGGAGTCTTGTGCTCCAAAACTCACTCTGTCTGAATTCAGAAGTCCCAGAGTAGTTTGACGTGCTCATTCTCTGTAATTTTTTCTGGCTTGTAATCCCACCAGTTCTTTGTCGCAGGCAGATGGTGTTTGTGGCACAAGTTCCAATGAATCATCTGAGCAATGGTGTTATGCCTCTGCTTGTAGTCTGTCTGCGTGATCTTCACAGCTGAGGATGTGATCTATTGTTTCATTTGCTTCCTTGCAGAGTCTACACTTGGGATCTGTCGTTGACTTTTCAATTCTGGTTTTGATGGCATTTGTTCTAATGGCTCGTTCTTGGGCTGCCAGAATCAGGCCCTCCTTTGTCTCCTTTTTCCAAGTTCCATTTGTAAGCCACAGCCATGTTTTTCCTTTGTCAATTTGGCTCTCAATTATTCCCAGGAACTTTCCATGGAGAGCCTTCTTTCGCCAGTTTTCTCTTCTGCTCTGCATTGTGTTTTTACAGTATTCACTTTTTGTCTTTTGCACTTTAAGTAGTTTTCTACTCTTGACTTCCCTCAATGTTGATTCTTGACTGCCTTATTATTATTGTTGTTGTTATAATTATTATTATTATTATTATTAGGGAAAGAAAAGTGACATATGTATGAGGGGAAAGGGAAGGAAGGAAGGAAGGAAGGAAGGAAGGAAGGAAGGAAGGAAGGAAGGAGGGAAGGAAGGAAGAGCCACAAAGAGAGCCATGTTTTTATGGAGACATTGTGAAGTAGATCCTCTCAGAGCTGGAGAAGGGAGAAAGGAGAAGGAAGGGGGAAGAAAGGGAAGAAAAGGAGAAGGAAGGGATGGAGGAAGGGAGGAAGAACAAGGAGGGAAGGAAGGAGGAGAAAGGAACAAGTAAAAGGTATGAGGGGTGAGAAGGAACGAAAGAGAAAGGCGGGATGGAATCTGGGGGAACCAGGGGGGGCACCCGAACAACGTAATAATAATACATTTCATTTGTTACCCGCCTCTCCTCATGGCTCAAGGTGGAGTACAACACAGTTAAAATATGGAGACAAAAACAGAATATCAATAAATATATAGAACAAAGATTAAAAACACAATACTAATAATATGTAAATTTAAACAAGGACTTTTCTGGAATCCCGTGCCCAGTCTACTTTTTTCTAGAAAACCCACATCATTGAACACATGCTTCTACGTACCCTTTCCCACTTAGAGTTGATGATCTGTGGAGTGACCGAAGTGTACGGGTTGTTCCCGGAGAGTTTTATGTTATTGTAATCCGCAATCTTTTGTGCTTCGCTCTGGATGCCCAGGATGGCTTCCCGCTCTTTGTCTGCATCAGGCAGGGTGGACTTGAACTGGTCGTGGGCTGCAATCAGACCCTGGAAGAGAGGGAAAACATAGTCCAGGGTATAGACATAAAACAGGAGCGGGACCCCGACAGTCACTAATGGCAAGATGAAGCTTAGTTCTACACGGTCACTGAAACTAATGTTAATGATGTTTGTGATCATGAGTTAAAAAGCAAGAGACGCTTCTCTAAAACAATGTTCACATGTTGTCCCTGAACCCCAGTTTTGAGGCCTTTGAAGGGTATCACCAATCCCACAAATCCTGGAACATTCCCAAATCTTTCAGATATGAATCTTCGCGTAGTTTCTTTCCCTAAAAACTGTTAGAGAAAACTACTCTAAAATACAGCAGAGCATCCAAAAATATAAACAGGATTCAAAAGCTGAGCATCAGCTCATTAGCAAGCAGAGTGTGAAGGTGCCATGTGATGTGGCTGTAAACAATTCAGAGCTTAGGAGGCAAACATGCAGAGTCCAATCTTTAAAAATCACAAAAGGTTTATTTACAATAATAACTAACTACATTTCTTTATGGTAGAGAACTGGATCTGAGCTACTCTAACACCCATCACTTCTAAGGTTTCAAAGAATTCCAACAAAAGCATGCCTCCTAAATGCAAAAAAAAAACCCACATGGAAATACCTTCCCATGAACCCCACAAGCACCAAACCACCTCATAATACGCCCAATACCTCAATTTGCCCCTACAACCCTTCTCTAAATGGCAACAGAGAGTGACCACATAGGAAAATAGGTTAGCTGTGTGTAGGAGGAGATCGATGAAATATCACCCTTTGCAATGCATATGAAAAGATGTAAGCAGACACAAAACAGAGAAAAGGCATTTCCAGGGGAAGCATTTCACATTTTAAATAGCTTGAACTGCACCCCTGCAGTGTTTAGCATTTTTTTTCTCAGCCTAAAGAGGAATTCCAGCCACTTTCTCTTCAACAGTCTGATGGAGCAGAAAACTGGCTTCTGGGTATGCCAGAGCCAGCTCTGTTTAAAACTCATATGGACATTATCTTTTCTAAATGCACGAGTATGGGAAATGGCCTTAGGTGCTTTCAGATGGTGGGCAAGGGGTCTCTCAATTCAAACTGGAAATGCCGGGTATTTAAACTTGAATCGATTGGCCACAGAAAGGGTTCCCCAACTGGGTTGTTTTAAGTTTTTCAGGCTATATGGCCATGTTCTAGAACAGGGGTTCTCAAACTACGGCCCGGGGGCCGGATACGGCCCTCCAAGGTCATTTACCTGACCCTCGCTCAAGGTCAACCTAAGAATTAAATGACTTGAAAGCACACAACAACAACAACAACAACCCTATCTCATCAGCCAAAAGCAGGCCCACACGTCCCAATGAAATACTAATAAGTTTATATTTGTTAAATCTGTTCTTCATTTTAATTCTTGAATTGTTTTAAAGTGTTTTTTGCACTACAAATAAGATATGTGCAGTGTGCATAGGAATTCATTCATTATTTTTTTCAAATGATAATCCGGCCCTCCAACACTTTGAGGGACTGTGACCTGGCCCTCTTTTTAAACAGTTTGAGGACCCCTGTTCTAGAAGATCAAATGGGACAGTCAGGATATACCTCATTCCTTGCATCAAACACAGGAGCCTCCAACTCACCTCCAGAGCTGGATTGGATGGCCTTTTGGGGGTTACCTTCCAATTCCATAATTCTGTGATATTTTGATTAAACAATCAGGGATAGAGTCGGTTTCCTGGAGGAAATAAATGTCTATTGAAGGTTCCCAAACTGTTTTGGTCATGGAACCTTCAGAAGACATTTATTTTCTGCAAGACCCTAACTCTATCTCTGATTGTTCAATCAAAATATCATAGAATGATGGAGTTGGAAGTTTACCCCCAAAAGGCCATCCAATCCAGCCCCATCTGGCCATACAAGAAAACACAACCCAAGAGCCTGACCCTCAACTGACCTCAATCTCCTCAATGGTGTGGACGATGAACATGTCTTGCAGGTCCTCCATGGCGCTCTCCATCCAGTTGTTAAAGGGCGCTGCCCGCTTGGCGTACTCCAAGTGGAGCTGGTCGATGGTCTCCAGCTGCTTCTCTGTTTTCTGCACAGGGGACCAAACGGGACAGTCAGGTCTCAGGATATACCTCACCCCCTGCGTCAAACGCAAGCTGCAGGAGCCTCCAGCTCACCTCCAGAGCTTCCCTCCGTGTGTGAGTCAAGGATCCTAGCGTGTCCCACTGGTCACAGATCTTCTGGCACCGGGCATTGACACTCGGGGAGTCATAGTAGTCCAATTCACTGTAGGGCAGAGAAGAGGGTCGGGAGTCAAGGTTTGGGACCAGATCTACACTAGAGAAGGCTGCTAATTTTGTCCTGCTAATGCTCATAGAAAGTCTGCCTTCATTCCTTCCTAGTGTTGTATTCCATGCCACCTCACATATGGATGTTATTTTGACTGGTGTAGCAATACAACAAGATCTGAGTCAGAGCAATGCCGTGGGCCTTCAAAGCGGTACTGCATGTCCCGGAAAGTCAAGGGGTAGGAAGGCCTTCCTACACAAATTCCTTTTCCTTTCATTCTGGAATTTAGGTCATAACTTGCACAAGGACCACCTCTTGCCCACTGGACCAACTCTGAGTAGAAATGGAAAGAATATGCAAAAGTATTTGAAAAATACTGAAAAATGTCTGCTTTCCAGGATGTATCCTGCACATTTTAACAATAGAAAAAGTTCACCTTAAATACTATTTCAGTGCATTGATATTGTCTGCTGAATACAATTTGCAAATTTTGCACAGAACAAGTCCCAAACTGAGAATTGTCTTGAAAAAAGCAGATTCCTAGCCGAATGAAAAATTGCTACGATTATGTATTATGCCCTTGAAGAACGAATTTAGGCTGCTGATATTATTATTATTATTATTATTATTATTATTATTATTATTATTATTATTATTATTATGTTTATGGGGGGGGGCTGATGGCATAGTGGGTTAAACCACTGATCTGCTGAACTTGCTGACCAAAAGGTAAGCTGTTTGAATCCAGAGAGTGGGAAGAGTTCCTGCTGTTAGCTCCAGCTTCTGCCAATCTAGCAGTTCGAAAACATGCAAATGTGTGTAGATCAATAGGTACTGCTCTGTTGGGAAGGTAATGACGCTCCATGCAGTCATGCCGGCCATATGACCCTGGAGGTGTCCACGGACAACACAGCTTAGAAATTGAGATGACTGCCACCTCCCAGTATTGGCTTAATATCAGGGGAAAGCTTTACCTTTACTATTATGTTATTCATATCCCATCTTTTTCTCTCCACAAGGAGACTCAAAGTGGCCCCATGAATTTCACAAGGGTTTTTTTAAGAGGTTCCACGAATGTAGGATGGATCTACACTGTAGAATTATTGCAGTTTGACAGTGATTGAATTGCCATGGCTCAATGTTATGGAATCATGGGAATTGTAGTCTGACGAGGCACTAGAACTCTTTTGCCGAGAAGTCCAAAGCGCTTGTAAAAATACAACCCAATGATTCCATAGTATTGAGCCACAGCAGTCAAAGTGGCGCAAAACTGAATTAATTCTACAGTGTAGATACATCAGTTAGCTCCAGCCCAGTGATTCTCAACTTATGCGTCCCCAGATATTTTGGCCTTCAACTCCCAGAAATCCTAACAGCTGGTAAACTGGTTGGGATTTCTGGGAATTGTAGGCCAAAACACCTGGGGATCCACAGGTTGAGAACCACTGCTCTAGAGTAACTAGAATGTGGCAATCCTTTGGCTCTCCAGATGTTGTGCTACAGCTCCCAATACTCCTTACCATATGGGTATGTGCTGCTAGATGTTGATTGCAGTCAATCAACATCTAGAAGGTCAAATCACTCCCAAGGCTCTTCTGAGGTGTTTATTTAGTGGAATCAGTATTGCACTAGACCTGAAAGTTGATGGTTAATGGATGGGGACTTGTGTTTTAATGTTTTTATTGCTTTTATATGGTTTATATTATATGTTAATGTTTTAATTGTATTTTATGTTGTTGGGGGCACTGAATTATGCCGATTGTAAACTGTCTTGAGTTGCGTTCGGGCTGAGAAAGGCGGTATATAAATATGGCAAATAAATCTATATAAATAAAAATGTAATGTTCGTTAGTGGGATTCACATAACTCAAAAACCACTGGACAAATTGACACCAAATTTGGACACAAGACATCTAACAACCCAATGTATGTCCTTCACTCAAAAAATTGATTTTGTCATTTGGGAGTTGTAGTTGCTGGGATTTATAGTTCACCTACAATCAAGGAACATTCTGAACCCCACCAATGATGGAATTGAACCAAACTTGGCACACAGTTCTCCCATGACCAACAGAAAATACTGGAAGGGTTTGGTGGGCAGTGTCCTTTGGATTTGGAGTTGTAGTTCACCTACATCCAGAGATCACTGTGGACTCAAACAATGATGGATCTGGACCAAAATTGGAATGAATTGTGATTTCATTTTGACGACTTGGCCTTATGTAATTATATGGTTGTATTTTAATGTATTTTGTGTATTAGTGTATTAATGGGGTGTGATGTTTTAAATTATTGTTTATGAATCTTTTGTTGTAAACCGGCCTGAGTCCCTCTTCGGAGGTCAAGAAGACCAGCATATAAAAGTTCTAAATAAATAAATAATGAATAATGAATAAATACTTAATATGCCCAAATGTGAACACTGGTGGAGTTTGGGGAAAATAGAATCTTGACATTTGGGAGTTGAAGTTGCTGGGATTTATAGTTCACCTACAATCACAGAGCATTCTGAACCCCACCAATGTTAGAATTGGGCCAAACCTCCCACACAGAACCCCCATGTGGGCCACAGCAATTCGTGGCAGGGGATGGCTAGTTAATAAATAAATGAGAAAAATAATGTGCAAGTAGTTGCAGGTAGGCAAAATCAACCTGCTTCCCCATGTTGAGCCTTCTCCCACCTTAAAAACAGTTCTGCAAAGGCTTTAATTGGGGGGTTTCTCCTCCTTCATCCCCCCCATTTTGGGTTTATAACCTGGAAGAGTTATGGGAGTCCAGGCAATATTTTCCCAACCCATTTGAGGCACCAGAGGGTGCTGCTGTGTCTCTTCTGAAAAGGACTTTGATGCAAAACAGGCTGTTGATTCCCCAACAGAGCGTGGAAAAGTTACCTTTCTTTGGGCCAACAGCTCCCAGGGTCCCCTAAGATCAAGCTGCTGGGTGGGTTTCTGGGAGTGACAGGCCCCTCATAAATAAACACTTCCAAGCTGTGCCCCAGACTGCCCCAAATCTGGTGATGAAGGGGGACTGACACATCACTCTTGTCTCGGGGTGGCATTTTCCCAGGAACTCCTGAAAGCAATGTTTTAGCAGGCTGCCTCTGGCAGGCTACACGGAGCTACACATTCGGGAAGCGGCCAGAAAAGTGCCAAAGTGTTCGCCAAGCAAAACACATTGCGGAGGAGATTGGGAAAGCAAGAGCAACGACACACGGGGTGCCCAGCTTCAAACAGGACCAGATTTTCAGACCCAAGACTGGTTACGCCAGGCGGAGGAGAGGTGGGGAGGCCTCATTGCACTGACGACGTGGGGTGACTTCCCAAACACCCCTCAAATGGCACCCTCCTATTACAAAACATGTGTGTGTGTGTTTTCCGCATGCTCCAGGCCACACACGTTTCCATGTTTTCCAAGTTCTCGGCCATTCCCAGCCGCTGGAATGAAGCGCCTCCATTCATGGCACAGCTCTGCCCTTGCCTCTGTGTGTACTAATTGTGTGTGTGAGTTTATCTGAGTGGGAAAAAAGAGGGGAAGGAAAAGCGGACGGGGAAGAGAAGTTTGCTGCAAACTCTTACAATAACTGCATTCTCGCGATGCACAAAGGGGGGGGGAGGAGAACAATGGGGGCACTGTGTGTGTGTCTGTGTATTTGGGTGAGTGATTGAGAGAGAGAGAAAGAAAGAGAGAGAGCCAGCAAGGGGAGAATACAGCCTTTCAGGAACACTTTCCAAAGTGAGGTGAGACCAGCAGATTGTGTGTGAGAGCCAAGAAGGTTTGGAAAGTGATCTTAAACGGCAAAGGGGTTGCTCTTTTGGATTGCCCCAAAATATCACACAAGCATCTCTTTGTATTTTTCCCTTTCGGAAAGACAGGCCAAGCCTCTCCCTTTCAAACACAGCACACAAACACACCGCCTGTATGATATGAAGGAATGCTAACGGTGAACACTGAGGGTGTTTGCTTGAAAGGAGACTGGCTAATGATATCAGAGCTTTGAAACATTGTGTTTTTTGGGACCACTGCTTCCAGAATAACTGGAGTCAGACTTGTCATTCAGACACATTATCTAGATCAGAGTTTCTCAACCTGGGGGTCGTAGCGAGTTACCAAAGATAATCAAAAACACAATATTTTCTATTGGTCATGGGGGTTCTGTGTGGGAAGTTTGATGCAATTCTATCCTTGGTGAGGTTCAGAATGCTCTTTGGTTGTAGGTGAACTATAAATCCCCGCAACTACAACTCCCAAATGTCAAGGTCTATTTTCTCCAAACTCCAGCAGTGTTCACATTTGGGCATATTGAGTATTCGTGACAAGTTTGGTCAAGATCCATCATTGTTTGAATTCACAGTGCTCTCGGGATGTAGGTGAACTACAACTCCAAAACTCAAGGTCAATGCCCACCAAATCCTTCCGGTTTTTTCTGTTGGTTATGGGAGTTCTGTGTGCCAAATTTGGTTCAATTACATCATTGGTGGAATTCAGAATGCTCTTTGATTGTAGGTGAACTATAAATCCCAGCAACTACAACTCCCAAATGACAAAATCAACCCCCAACCCCACCAATATTCAAATCTGGACAGGTATTTGTGCCAAATTTGGTCCAATGATTGAAAATACATCCTGCATATCAGGTATTTACATTATGATTAACAATACTCACAAAATTACAGTTGTGCAGCAGCAATGAAAATAATGTTATGGTTGGGGGTCATCACAACATGAGGAACTGTATTAAGGGTTTGTAGCATTAGGAAGGTTGAGGACTGCTGATCTAGAAGCTGAAATGGTTAATCTAATAATAATAATAATAATAATCTTTATTTATATTCTGCTCTATCTCCCCAAAGGGACTCTAAAGCCAGTGTAGTTTGCATATGCCGTAGCAACAAAAATAACTGTATGATTGGGGGTCACCACAACATGAGGAACTGTGTTAAGGGCTCGCGGCATTAGGAAGGTTGAGAACCACTGATCTAGAGCCTGTAATTGCCAAAAAAGCATGTTTCTCCCCTTAATACTGTGAAACACTTCACAGTCTGAAATGACAACAACAGCTTGAGAGTGGTCTGTGGAAGGACAGAGGTGTGGAAATGAAGCAAATCCATAAACAAAGAATCCAGAAAAATGTCCCAAGCAGATAACCTTCGCTTTGAGGGAACTGAGGAGTCCAAATCCCAGAATTCTTTTGCAACCTCCAAAAAAGCCCTGCTTGGACCAATATTTGAGGGAATTGGAAGCAAGACACTCAAGTTGAAATCCAAGTCTAAATCCAATCAATAGATCAAGAGCAAATCAACACTTGGTTCTACTCTAGTTAGGGTTAGATTTAGGCCCCAGGATTGATTCCCACCAGCTGCCGCTTTGCTATTTCATTTTGCATTGCTATGTGCAAATTCAGCACATAGCTAAAATCCTGAACCATAGTCAGAGATCCTCGCTATGCGATCTTACAGGTTTCCTTCTGCCGCAGGCTGTGAATAGAAGCAAAGGCAATATCTGAAAACAGGATTCATTAAGCAAGGTGCAACGACAGCATACCTGATAGCCTCGCTGTAAATGCCTCTTGGTTGCTTGGAAGTATTTAGAGGAGGCCATCAGGTATGCTGTGGTTGCACTTCTGTTTATGAATCTCCTTTTCAGATTGACCCCCAAATCCCACACTCTAAGAAAGTTACTTCCTATATCTAGCTAAATCAGGCATGAGCAAACTTCAAGATGTTTTGGACTCCAACTCCCACCATTCCTAACAGCCTCAGGCCCCTTCCTTTTCCCCCTCAGCCGCTTAAGCGGCTGAGGGGGAAAAGGAAGGGGCCTGAGGCTGTTAGGAATGGTGGGAGTTGAAGTCCAAAACATCTGGAGGGCCCATGTTTGCCCCTATCTGGGCTAGAACGACCCTAGAAGAGAGGATGAGGAAGAGGAAGGAGAAGAGGAGGAAGGCCATACTTGAGCTCCTGAGCAATGGCCGCAATCTGCTCCACTCGGTCCTGGTGAGCCGCCAGGTCGCTCTCAAAAGCTTCATGTTTCCGGATCAGGGCTTTGATGTCCGAAAGGGTGGCCGTCTCGTAGTCCTTCTGTTTCAGCATGGCCTCTTTGCCTGATGAAGCGAAACAAACATCATTATTATTTATTTACAGCATTTATATTCTGCCCTTCTCACTCCAAAGGGGACTCAGGACAGATCACAGAACACATACATGGAAAACATTCGATGATGATAAACAGACAGGACAGACAACAGATAGAGGTGCTATGTCAGCATTTTCCCCAGCTTCGGTGTCCTGGAGGTTGTGCCTGATTCCAGCCACAAGGGGGTGCTGTCGCTCGATACTCTATGACAAAGAGTCCTTGATCACAGACTTCCTCCTTTCTTTGATAGCCAGCATTTTTCTGGTATTTCTTGTATTTGGTGCTGTAAAATACCTCCCTGCTTAAGCGGTGCCTAATTTCTCTACTCACAGCTCACAACTGTTCTTGAACTGCTTAGGTGGACAGTGAGCTGAGCTGAAGGTCAGATGCTCACCCTGGCCTGGGCTTCGAACTCCCAACCTTTCGATAGGTAAGATGTATTGCTGCTGGTGATTAACCAGCTGTGCTACATTTTGTTCAGAAGCTATCACAACAACAGGTTTTTCAGCTGCCCCCCTCCCCCACCTGATTTTTTCAGGTTTTCTGTTATTTTAGCCACAATATTGTGATAGGGTTTGGAATGTGGTGAGATCCAAGCAAACAAGATCACTCTGCTGGCTTTTGTATTGGATCATATGTTGGATACTTGTCTAGGACTTGTCAGGTGTCTAGGACTGTGTGATGCACCAGCAAATAATGAGTACAGATCCTAGTAGGGTAACCTTTTGCAGCTGAGGGACAGCAATTTTTTCAGCACCAATTTATTTTAAGTGCAGGCCAAGATCTTTAGGACCACCTTGACTGGCTTGTGCCAGAGTTTTTGCAATTCTATCTTTAAATCATTATTATTATTAGTTTGACGTGTTTAATTTCTGTAACTACTACTACCACTACTACTACTACTACTATTATTAGAAACACAACAAAATGAGTCTTGTGCCAGAGTCTTATTATTATTGTTGTTAGAAACACAACAAGATGAGTCTTGTGCCAGAGTCTTTGCAGTTCGATCTTTAAATCCTCATAACGTGTCAGCTTTTCCAGTTGTTTCTCTGTAATCCTGATGTCACCTGGGATTGCAACATTAACGATCCATAATTTGTTTTTTAACACGATTGTGAGGTCAGGAGTATTATGCTCCAAAACTCTGTCTGTCTGAATTTGGAAGTCCCAGAGGAGTTTGACGCGTTCATTCTCTGTAACTTTTTCAGGATTGTGATCCCACCAATTCTTTGTCACAAGCAGATGTTATTTGTGGCACAAGTTCCAATGAATCATCTGAGTAATGGTGTTATACCTCTGCTTGGAGTCTGTCTGTGCGATCTTCTTGCAGCAGCTGAGCATGTGATCTGTTGTTGTTGTTGCTGTCTGTGCGATCTTCTTGCAGCAGCTGAGCATGTGATCTGTTGTTGTTGTTGTTGTTGTTGTTGTTGTTGTTCTTCTTCTTCTTCTTCTTCTTCTTCTTCTTCTTCTTCTTATTATTATTATTATTATTATTATTATTATTATTATTATTATTATTCTAAGGCAGACTCCAAGGCCTTCTTTAAGCCAAGAGCATTAACAAAATGCTCAATTGATTCCACTGACTTCTTTGTTCAGGTTTTGCTCATTTCATTTCCCTCATTTTCCATGCTATGTGGAGATTCCCAAACCAGAGATACGAACACAGACTCTGGAAAGTGAATTCCTGGACTATAACTCGTAGATGGCCCTTTCTACCTTTGCCGGGAGACTTTGGGAATTATAGTCCCAAAATATATTTACGTTCCCAAGCTCTACTTCATCAAGCCATGGCCAGACACAGGAAGTAGATGCCAGGCCTCCTCCGGCTACACAGGAAACCAGAGGATGGCGTGAAGCAGAGCTTTTTGACTTCCAGCTCAAGCACGTTCCTTTTGGCTCATCCCTCAGCTACCGTCCCTTGATTCCTTTTCCCAGCTTCAGTCAGCTATCTTGGAGGGGCAAGAGAGCAAATTCAAATGAGCCGCTATTTGCTAGCAACCTGGCACATCGCTGGAGTTTCTGTGGTAATTCTAAAGTTATTTGGGTTGGGGAGAGAAAAGGGCTGCCGGAGTGTTGAAAACACTCTTCTGTTCCAATCAGCTGTTCCCTGGGACACGCTTAGCTTGGAAAATTCTTCCTTGGCTGCAAGCCAGGCAGAGGTCCAGACAATCTGAGAACGGCAAACTGTGTGGAGAGAGAAAAGAATGGGAGGGAGGCGGCTGACACTAGATGCTGACTGGACACCAGAAGTTTGATCGGAATGGCTTAGCTTTGGGCCAGAAGTTCCATTCTTTGGGCCGTGAGAAAGGCTGGAGTGAGGAACGACTGCTTGGCTGGCAGGTTCAGGGAGAATCCAAAACCACTGGGATTACCCAGAAATACACAGTTCTTCTCCATGAGATCCAACTGACCAGAAGAGGACAACCTCACTTGGACCATGTTGCAGCTACTCATTGTTTTAATAGGGAAAAATATACTTCTGAGTAGATGCATGTTGGTGATCTTAATCCAGAAAACCAACTCGATAGAAAATGTGGAAGAATAATGTTATAGATGACTACAGTAGCGAGAATCATGTTTTCTCAAAAATGGAAAAAAAATTCTGTGTCAGGAGTGACTTGAGAAACTGCAAGTCACTTCTGATGTTAGAGAATTGGCCATCTACAAGGACGTTGCCCAAGGGACGTCTGGATGTTTGATGTTCTACCATCCTTATGGGGGGCTTCTCTCATGTCCCTGCATGAGGAGCTATAGCTGACAGAGGGAGCTCTCATAGAGTTGGAAGAGACCTCATGGGCCATTCAGTCCAACTCCCTGCCAAGAAGCAGGAATATTGCATTCAAAGCACCCCCCGACAGATGGCCATCCTGCCTCTGTTTTAAAAGCCTCCAAAGAAGGAGCCTCCACCACACTCCGGGGCAGAGAGTTCCACTGCTGAACAGCTCTCACAGTCAGGAAGTTCTTCCTAATTTCAGATGGAATCTCCTTTCTTGTAGTTTGAAGCCATTGTTCCGCGTCCTAGTCTCCAGGGAAGCAGAAAACAAGCTTGCTCCCTCTCCTCGGATTTGAACCTCTGACCTGTCGGTCAGCAGTCCAGCCAGCACAAGGGTTTAACCAATTGCACCATCAGGGGCTCCAAAGATGGCAAGAATCAACCACCCTGATGCAAAAAGATTGCCTTGCAAAGATGTGCAAACTAGCGGAAATGGACAAATTCACAATGTTGATTGAGGGAAAATCTCTATAATTAATTTCAAGGTGGACTGGGGCCTTTTTATTAGGTTTCTGCAGCAAAGTTGCAGTCAACCCTCCATAATTGTGTTTTTATTAAAATTAGAAAAATGTCTTCTTATAGGGAAAGGACGTATAAGTGTTTTTTTTTTTAATGGGCATGGAAAACTGAGAAAATACAACCGTTAAGCAGAGAATGTAAAGTCATTAGATTAAATTTTTCATAGATTACTGGTTTGGTGTTTTTTTGGGGGGAGTCTGTTAGTTTTGTGTTCTGTTTTGTGTTTATTCCAGTGTTTTATTTTTAATAGGTACTACTTAGTTTTATGCCCCCCCCCCCCCACGGTGGCGCAGCAGGTTAAACTGCTGAGCTGCTGAACTTGCTGACTGAAAGGTTGGCGGTTCGATTCTGGGGAGTGGGGTGAGCTCCCGCTGTTAGCCCCAGCTTATGCAAACCTAGCAGTTTGAAAACATGCAAATGTGAGTAGATCAATAGGTACCGCTCTGGCGCGAAGGTAACGGCGCTCCATGCAGTCATGCTGGCCACATGTCTTTGGAGGTGTCTACAGACAACGCTGGCTCTTCGGCTTAGAAATGGAGATGAGCACCACTCGACTAGACTAGGTGAACTATAAATCCCAAATACAACTCCCAAATGACAAAATCAATCTGTCATATGTTCTGCAGTTGATGGTGGTTGGTGATGGAAGGGTTAAAGTGAGTATTAGTTCTAGAGGGTTTGGTAATTTGTAAGTGGGAGTTCATGGGTGAAAGCAATTACGGGTGGAGGTGTGCAGGAATGGGTTGCAGCTGGGTGTTACTGGATTTAAGGAGCTAACCTTGAGACTGATCTTTGGGAGAAAAGTATCTGTTGTATTTTGGTGGTGGATGCTGCTGGTTTTCCCCCCAGGTCTGGTGGATTTTTCGGTATCCCGACCTGTCTCCTGTAATCTTGGGATCCTTGAACCTTTAACCTTTGGACTGGCTTTTAATTATGGTATAGACTCTTGATCCATGGACTCTGTTATGGAACTCTTGGCATTTGACCACTGGACTGGACCTTTTTGAGTACGAAGTTATTTTTACTATCAGTTTTTTGTTTATTCCTAGCTATGTGCTATCTTTGTGTTTTAGACTTTGATCTATTAAAACAGCCAGTAAGTAAGTAAGTGCTGTTTTAATTAAACTGTTTGATAAAACTGGGAGTTTTGATTCATCTCTACCTAAACAAGGTAGAGCCCTGGCAACGTGACACAATCCCACCCCAAACCCCACCAGTATTCAAATGTATTGGGTATTTGTACACATCTCACCATACTAAAACAGTGGACGTCTCTTAATGAGACATGCCACATTATCACAGGGTGTCTGCGCCCTACACCACTGGAGAATTACACTGCTTAGTCGGTATTGCACCACCTGACATCCGCCGGGAAGTAGCAGCCAATAGTGAAAGGACCAAGGCAGAGACATCTCCAGCTCATCCCTTGTTTGGGTATCAGCCAGCACATCAACGACTTAAATCAAGAAATAGTTTTCTAAGATCTACAGAGACACTTGCTGGAACACCTCAGCAAGCGAGAGTCCAAAAGTGGCAGGCTCAAACCCAGCACCTCAATCCGTGGGTGATACCAGATGACAGACTCCCTCCTGGGCACACAGAAGACTGGGCAACTTGGAAGGCGCTGAACAGACTGTGGTCTGGCACCACGAGATGCAGAGCCAACCTTAGGAAATGGGGCTACAAAGGTGAATCCACGACATGTGAGTGTGGAGAAGAGCAAACCACAGACCACCTGCTGCAATGCAACCTGAGCCCTGCCACATGCACAATGGGGGACCTTCTTGCGGCAACACCAGAGGCACTCCAAGCTACTGGTCAAAGGACATTTAATCAACTACCAAGTTTGCGAAATGTGTGTTTTTTTTATCTGTTTGTTTGTTTTGTTCTATTAGAAATGTAATACAATGGTATAGTTGCTGATGACACGATAAATAAATAAATAAATAAATTGGGTATTTGTGCCAAATTTGGTCCAGTGAATGAAAATACATCCTGCATATCAGATATTTACATTACGATTCGTAACAGTAGCAAAATCACAGTTGTGAAGTACAAAAATGATGTTATGGTTGGGGGCCACCACAACAGCAGGAACTGCATTAAGGGGTCGGGCATTAGGAAGGTTGAGGAACACTGATCTAGCAGGTTTCCATGGCCAACTGGGGAATCAAACCCTGGTCATAGTTCAATGCTAGCGACGTGCAAAGAGAACTAGAAAGCACAAGTAACAGCAGAGCTTGGCTCTTTTCTCAGCTCCTTTGTCTGTGTTCCAGACGGGATCTTAAAAAGATGGTCTTCTGAGCACCAAGGGAGTCGGTGCTCTTCAAAGGCAACCTCCCTGCCTCCCCTAGCAACTGTCTGCCCACTTTGATGGATGGCGATGGAGAGGAGGGGTGCGGAAAGAGGGGAGCAGCAGCGGTGTGGCTCTGCCCACCAGCACAGACTGCTGCAGAAATGGGCGAGAAAAAAGGAATTTGCTGCAAGTATCACATTGTGTCCTAACAGGAAGCTGCAGGGACGCTGATAATGTTTTCTCCGCCCCGGACTGTGCTAAGAATAGGGCCGGTGACAAAAGGATTCCAAGCCTGAAAGGGAGTAAACAACTTAAAACAAAACCTTGGAGTAGAAGCAATGAGGAGCGGAGCTGGCCAAGACACACGAGGCTCCATTCGATGGGTAGGCAGGTTGCACTCTCATCTTTTAAAGGGTGGCTTCTTCCTTGTTGCCCTTTCCTCAGCAAGTAATTTGTTTCTTTGCTCTTTACAGGAATTGACTGCAAAGGCTTTTAGTAATGTACTGCTCTGCCGGTTTACCATTTGCCAGCTTTAATGGATTTGTTTTAAAGGGTTTCAACCCGATAGACCGTTTAATTGCATTTGAACAATAAAGTTTTCACTTTGCTTTCTGCAAATGTTTTCAACTGTTTTGTTTTGATTTTTGTAAAGTGCCTTGACTCCCAGTATTGGAGAAAAGGCAAGATATAAACCAGGGGTCCTCAAACTAAGGCCTGAGGGCCAGATACAGCCCTCCAAGGTCATTTACCCGTCCAGGACTCAGGGTCCACCTAAGTCTGAAACGACTTAAAGCACACAACAACAACAACAACCCTATCTCATAATTGTGACCAGGGGATGCACTGGAGCACCTGCTGCATGGTGTTGTTTTTCTCTAAAGTTCATCTCAAAATGACAACAGGAGGCGATCTGACTCCACTTCCTGTTGCCATTTTGAGAAGGACTGCAGAGAAATTCGGCTTTGCTATATGTTGGTGGAAGTCACAGCTTCCGATAACAAGGAGCGAAGTATCACTGTAGTGGAGCCCCCGGTGGCGCAGTGGGCTAAACCCATGTGCCGGCAGAACTGAAAACCGACAGGTCGCAGGTTCGAATCCGGGGAGAGGCCGATGAGTTCCCTCTGTCAGCTCCAGCTCCCCAAGCAGGGACATGAGAGAAGCCTCCCACAAGGATGATAAAAACATCAAATCATCCGGGCATCCCCTGGGCAACGTCCTTGCAGACGGCCAATTCTCTCACACCAGAAGCGACTTGCAGTTTCTCAAGTTGCTCCTGACACGACTAAAAAAAAAAATCACTGTAGTGCAGTGTTTCTCAACCTGGGGGTCAGGACCCCTGTGGGTGTCACGAGGGGGTGTCAGAGGGGTCGCCAAAGACCATCAGAAAACATAGTATTTTCTGTTGGTCATTGGGATTCTGTGTGGGAAGTTTGGTCCAATTCTATCATTGGTGGGGTTCAGAATATTATTTCATTGTAGGTGAACTATAAATCCCAGCAACTACAACTCCCAAATGTCAAGGTCTATTTTTCTCAAACTCTTCCAGTGTTCACATTTCAGCAGAGTATTCGTGCCAAATTTGGTCCAGATCCATCATTGTTTGAGTCCACAGTGCTCTCTGGATGTAGGTGAACTACAACTCCAAAAATTCAAGGTGAATGTCCACCAGATCCTCCCAGTATTTTCTCTTGGCCATGGGAGTTCTGTGTGCCAAGTTTGGTTCAATTTCATCATTGGTGGTGTTCAGAATGCTCTCTGATTGTAGGTGAACTATAAATCCCAGCCACTACAGCTCCCAAATGACAAAATCAATCCCCCCCACAACCCCACCAGTATTCAAATTTGGGCATATTGGCCATATTGGGTATTTGAAATTACATCCTGCATATCAGATATTTCAATTACGATTCATAACAGTAGCAAAATTACAGTTACGAAGTAGCAATGAAAATGTTATGGTTAGGGGTCACCACAAAGTGAGGAATTATACTAAGGGGTCGCGGAATTAGGAAGGTTGAGAACCACTGCTGTATTGGGTTTCCAACTCACTGTAGAATGAAAACTGTAAGTCACAGTAAGTGGAGAACTGCATGAGGAATCTATAAAGAATTATATCATCAAGACAAAAAAAAAATAAATCCAGAATTTCAGGAAGTAAGCTGGGTTCCGATCCTTTTCTTTGAGAAGTGTAAGAGTTTTGCCCCCGGACCCATAAATGCAGAGTTGGGATGGAAGAAAAATATTAAAACTACACACTATCCCTTGCCCATGTGTGCATGAACATCACCATGCAGTCTGAAATTATATAATCCAGGAACGGTTTCTTAGTCCGTGTAATTTATGCAGGTTATTGGAACGGAATATAGATACACCATTTCCCTGCGAAAGATGAATAATTCTGTCCCAAATCCTCCTAAGCCTAGTTTTCTGTCTCCAGTAGCAACCAGCCTCGGAATGGAAAAGTCAGTAGCAGCAGCTGTGGTTTTGCTGGCTGCCCAAACAATGTGAGAAGCAGAAGGCAAAACCATTCGGATGAAAAATCATTTGACAGCGAACCATTACATCGCAAGCGGCTGTCAAAATTTGACAGACTTCTTCTTCCCTCCACTTTCCCAAGGGTTGGGTCAATCTGGGACAACTGAGAGGGGCTGGGATGCAGTTTCGCATATGCTTAAGATGTGGGAGGTCCCGGATTGAATTGCTGGCATCTATAATGTATTTTTAAAAAGACTGGAAAAGCAGTCTTAGAGCAAAGTCCTAGTAATAGTTGGAAGGAGAAGACCTTGGAAAAGTTGCTTTTCTGGATAGCACTTTCCAAGAATCCTCTCCAACAGCTACGGCCAAGAACTTTCCAAAGTTTTGCAACAAAGGGATTGTTTGACATGTGCATCTGGTGCTCACCTTCGGTCCAAGACTCGTGAATGGATGCCTTCTGCCTGAACTTCTGACCCAAGTGCTCCAGCCGCTCCAGCCTCCGCATCTCATTCAGTAGCCACTCTTCGAAACCTTTCTCCGCCTGCTCCAAGTGCTGCCAACCATTGTTGATGTCCTGTGGGAATTGGACAGAGTATATGTACAACGGGGTGCCTCCTGTTAGTTCTGCTTCTTAACTAAGGGGCTTCCGAAGTGGCTGCACATGTCAGGAATGCTTTGTGTGTTCTAGCATGACAGGAGCTTGGGCTGCTATTGCTTCTCTGAAAAGTCTACAGAACCAACTGAGCTCTGACCATCTCATGCTTGCTGGTCACCTCTACTCTCCTTTAAGTCGGCAGGCAGGCCCACTCACCGAAACCATCTTCCCCTCGGAAGGCATGAAGGCCGGCCGATTGCTCAGCCGCAGCTTGGTCTGCAAGGTGTTGAAGTTGATCTCCAGCTGGCACTTCTCCTGCACCTTAGGGGGCTTGTGGACCCTCCGGTAGTCGCGGAAGTCCTCCAGCTTCTGCTGCATCCCTTGCATAGTCTTCTGAGGGACACGGTTCTCCAGCCAAGGGATGGTGCGCTGAATCCACTCCAGAAGCTGAGGAAGTCGAGGGGGGGGGGGAGGGGGAGAAAAGATATAATAATAATAATAATAATAATAATAATAATAATAATAATAACAACAACAACAATAACAACAATATTTAAAGATTGAACAGCAAAGACTCTGGCACAAAACAGTCAAGGTGGTCCCAGTGGTGATCGGCACGCTGGTTGCAGTGCCTAAAGACCTTGGCGCTGACAAAATTACCATCTGCCAGCTGCAGAAGGCTACCTTACTGAGATTTGCATGCATTATTCGCCAATACATCACACAGTCCTAGACACTTGGGAAGTGTCTGACGTATGATCCAATTCAACAGCCAGCAAAGTGTCTGCTGTGGACTCATCTTGTTGAGTTTCAAATAATAATAAAACTTTATTTATACTCCGCCACCATCTCAAGGGGATTTGGGGTGGCTTACATGAGGCCAAGCCCAGATATATATATATATACACACACACACACACACACATATACATACACAGTTTTATTATTATTATTAAATATATTATTATTATAATATATATTTACAGCATTTATATTCTGCCCTTCTCACCCCAAAGGCGACTCAGGGAGGATCACAGAACACATACACATCAAACATTCGATGCCGTTAAACAGACAGGTCAGACAACAGATAGAGGTATTATGTCGGCATTTTCCCCAACTTTGGTGTCCTGGATGTTGTGCCCGATTCTGGCCACAGGGGGGGGGGTGCTGTCACTCCATCCTCTATGACGAAGAGCCTTGATCACAGACTTCCTCCTTCGATTGCCGGCATTTCTCTGGTATTTCCTTTATAGGGTGCCATAAAATATCTCCCTGCTTAAGTGGTGCCTAATTTCTCTACTCACAGCTCATAGCTGTTTTCAAACTGTTTAGGTCTACAATTTGGTGATAGATATGGGCATTGTATGTTTTTACCCTGTTTCCCCTTCCTTTCCGCTCCCTCACCCATATTGTGCTTCAGTAGTTATATTTATATTTTTAATGTACCAAACATACCAAGTTTGTATGAAAATGTGACTCTATTTCGAAATAAATGATTTGATTTGAAACTGCTTAGGTGGACAGTAAGCTGGGCTGAAGGTCAGGTGCTCACCCTGACCCGGGCTTCAAAATGTCAACCTTTCAATTGGAACGATGTATTGCTGCTGGTGTTTAACCAGCTGTGTTGAAGCCTGGCCCTGTACAAAGGTACAAGTGGCGTGTTGAGCAATTGTCAAGTCCAACATACATCTTTCTATCTCCCTTTTATGGTCATTGTGGAGGTTGGCATTCTCTTCCCCTCTCTAGAATGACCCCATTCTGTGATAGAGGGAACTATGACTATTCAGTGGCTGGAGGAGAGAGGAGGAGATTACATATTCTGCCAGGAACTCTATAGAGGACACGGGCAGATTTCAGTGGATGTGCCACTAATCAATATCTGTATTCAGGAAATAGCCAGATGTTCCTCTGCCTCCCGCGGTGATCTATCAGCTGTGGAGGAAGGGGGCTTGTAGCTAAAGCGTAAGTTTGGAGATTGAGAAGTGAGATGCATTATATTTCCTCCTGTGAGCCCTTTGTTTTTCTGTTGGATATGCCCACTTTCAAGGAAGTGCAGTGGGCATAGCTCTTGCAGGGAAGACCAAGAGAGGCCAATGGCAAGAAAGGAGGCTCGTATGTCAGAAACACTCACATCAGAAGCCAGCTTTTCGTAGTCTTCCATCAGGTGCTCATTCTCCTGGTTCACCGCCAACACTTTGCAAATCCTGTTTGCGGCTGTCTCAGCCTAGAGAGAAACACACGAGGAGGGGAATAAGAGTCCAAAAGGCAATTGGGCCCAGACAGTTAAGACTTGCCTAAAGTGAAGCTGCAGTGGAAAAAAGTAGATGGCTGCAAAGTGAAGTCTGCAGAAACCACCAAGTCTAGTGACAGCAAAGAAAGAACCATTTCAAAGCAAAGCCGGCAAGAGGTTTTCCGCAACCTTTGCAGCAGACTCTGGAGGTTTGGCAGACCAAGATTGCCCTCTTCCATAATTCCTCTCGCCATCAAAACAAGAATTCCTGTTTCAATGAGTGCTATCTTCTATGCACTGGTCTAAAATTACCAATGATCTAGGACAACTGGAAGCTAAGAACAAAATTCATCAGACTTCTGTATTTATAGTTCCCTGGAAGTGGACTGTCCTGAATGATCACTTTGGAACAACTCTAAATCTGAGTGTTCTTCATCCAAAGGGGAGGCCATCAGCTGGATCAAATATTTCCTTGGATAGATACAGTTTCTCAAGCTGGGAAACTAACTTCAAATTATGGTTTTAGATCCTAGCTTGTTCCAATACTGGTAACCACACTGATGATGGGTGGTTGTGAGTTTTCCGTGCTGTACGGCCATGTCCCAGAAGCATTCTCTCCTGACATTTTGCCTGCATCTATGGCAGGCATTCTCAGAGGTTGTTGGACCTCACAACCTCTGGGGATGGCTGCCATAGATGTGGATGAAACATCAGGAGAGAATGCTTCTGGAACATGGCCATACAGCCTGGCCAGATACTGGTCAAAGGACATTTAATCAACTACCAAGCTTGCAAACTTTGTGTTTTGTCTGTTTGAAATGTAATACAATGGTCTGGTTGTCCATGACACGATAAATAAATAGCCTGGAAAATTCACAACAACCCAGTGATTCCAGCCATTAAAGCCTTTGACAACACTGATCATGAGTGTTCAACAATGACCCATCAAGTGCTGAATTATAGCCCACCCAAAAGACACCGTATGTGGAAGGGGTATGCGAGCATCAGACTCATGCCTATGTTGACTTAAGAAGCCAAGATGGACATGACTGAACCAGGCCATTATGTTCTTGTTTACAAACTGGTATCTCTGTGTTTCCCAACCTTCTGAATGCTGTGAACCCCTAAATACAGTTCCTCATATTGTGAGGAGCCCCCCCCCCCAACCATAAAATTATTTTGTTGCTATTTCATAACTGTAATTTTGCTACGGTTATGAATCGTAATGTAAATATCTGATATGCAGGATGTATTTTCATTTATGGAACAAATTTGGCACAAACACCCAGTGCATCCAAATTTGAATACTGGTGAGGTTGGGAGCGATTGATTTTGTCATTTGGGAGTTGTAGTTGCTGGGATTTATAGTTCACCTACATTCAAAGAGCATTCTGAACACCACCAATGATGGAATTGAACCAAATTTGGCACACAACAGAAAATACTGGAAGAGTTTGGTGGGCATGGACCTTGAGTGTTGGGAGTTATAGTTCACCTACATCCAGAGAGCAATGTGGACTCAAACCATGATGAATCTGGACCAAACCTGGCAAAAATACTCAATATGCTCAAATATGAACACTGGTGGAGTTGGAGGAAAATAGACCTTGACATTTGGGAGTCGAAGTTGCTGGGATTTATAGTTCACTTACATTCAAAGAGCATTCTGAACTCCATCAATGATGGAATTGAACCAAATTTGGCACACAGAACTCCCATTACCAACAAAAAATACTGGAAGGGTTTGGTGGGCATTGATCTTGAGTTTTGGAGTTGTAGTTCACCTACATCCCGAGAGCACTGTGGACTCAAACAATGATGGATCTGGACCAAACTTGGGATGAATACTCAATATGCTCAAATATGAACATTGGGTGGAGTTTGGGTAAAGCAGACCTTGACATTTGGAAGTTGTAGTTGCTGGGATGTTTAGTTCACCTACAATCAAAGAACATTCTGAACCCCACCAACAATAGAATTGGGCCAAACTTCCCACACAGAACTCCCACAACCAATGGAAAATATTGTGTTTTCTGATGGTTTTTGCTGGCTCCTCCCGACCCCCAGATTGAGAAATGCTGGTTTAGGGGTTTCAATTTTAAATTTGCATTTGCATTTAACATTGCAGCCTCTTGTAAATCTTTTCTTCCCTTCTCTTTTTGTATATGATCATAATCTTATCGTTCCCTCATTTAATTCAAGGCTGGTAAAGTGTGGCCCTCCAGAGGACTGCAACTCCCATGAGCTCCAAACCAACTTACCCAAGGCACCCCTCCATAATGCACAGTAGCCAGGTTTAAGTGAAAGGAGAAAGCAGAAGAACGGCACAGAAACTATGGGATGGGTGGAAAAAATCAAGAGATCAAGTACCTTGCAAGGAGCAGAGAGAGTCCAAGGGAAGGAGATGGAAGCCAGACATCAACAGAAAGGGTGATGAGGGTCTACAAAAGGATGGGAAGAGGGAGAGAGAGAGCCATGGAAGAAATGAATTGCCAACAGAATAGGAGAGCCAAAAGAAAGAAAGGAGGAAAGAAAGAAAAGCATTGTTCTATCAGGAGGGAAAATATAAGCCACACAGCACAGGGTTTTTTCTTCCTATGTTTGTTTTATGAAGCTGGTTTGCAGCAGGGCAGCCAAGGGAAATAAGGGCCAGTGCTCTTGTCCCTTTGATATGTGACAAGCCACTAAAGTTGACATTTACCTTTCAATCCAACTACTTGGAGCCCTGTCTCTTATTTCACCTGGCAATGGCTAGTTTGTTGGAAGGAAGGTCATACTTGAAAAGATTAAGCTGCTTTGGATGAGGTTTGTATTATGGAGGGGAAGATTGGAATCATACGCTTTGGCCCATAATGATACCAACTGATTTCTTAATTGGGGCTTACCGTATATACTTGAGCATACGCTGAGTTTTTCAGCCCTTTTTTAAGGCTGAAAAAACCCCCCTTGGCTTATAGTCGAGTCAAAGTTATTTAGTATTTTACTGGGTTATTTATTTATTTATTCAACTTGTATACCACTACTCCCAATTTGGCAATTTAATTTTGCCATGATTATTATTGTCTTATGATTATTATTTTTATTACATTTATTATTTTACTAGATTTATTATTATTATTATTATTATTACGTTTATTATTTTTCTCTATTATTTGAAACACAAGATGAGTCTACAGCAGGCAAGATCACTCTGCTGGTTGTTCTATCGGATCACATGTCAGACACTTCCCAAGTGTCTATTTTACTCTATTTATTATTGACATATTTATTATTTACTCTATTATTATTACATTTATTATTTTACTCTATTATTATTATTATTATTATTATTACATTTACATTAATTTATTTTATTCTATTTATTATTATTACATTTATTATTTTACTCTATTTTTATTATTTATTATTTTACTCTATTATTATTACATTTACATTATTTTACTCTATTTATTATTATTACATTAATTTTATTGTTGTTATTATATTTTTATTTTATTTATTATTACATATATTATTTTAATTTATTATTGTTATTATTACATTTATTGTTTTACTCTATTTTTACAGTTATTATTCCATTTATTATTTTATTTTATTATTGTTATTATTACATTTCCATCATTTTATTACTATTTTTATTACATTTGTTTGTTTTGTTGTGTCAGGAGCGACTTGAGAAACTGTTTTACTCTATTATTATTATTACATTATTATTTTACTCTATTTATTATTATTGCATTTTTATTTTTACTTTATTATTGTTGTTATTACAATTATTATTTTACTCTTTTATTACTGTTATTATAACATTTCCATTATTTTACTCTATTCTTATTATATTTATTACATTTATTATTTTACTCTATCCTTATTGGAAGGATACTTAAGCACATTTACATTGAAGAAGGTTAGAATAATGGTTTAATAAGAGTTGGATACAGTTTTATGTAACTACATCATATTCAAAAACTGGGGATCACAACCAGACACAGTGAAGACATCTTCCCTTGCACTATGCTACTTTGCTGCTGAGTATGCATGCCCAGTGTGGAACATATCTCACCACGCTAAAACATTATTTATAATAAATAATAATAAAACAGTGGATGTGGCTCTTAATGAGACATGCTGCATTATCACGAGGTGTCTGCGCGCTACACCACTGGAGAAATTACACTATCTAGCCGGTATCGCACCACCGAACATCTGCCGGGAAGTAGCAGCCAATACTGAAAGGACCAAGGCAGTGACATCTCCGGCCCATCCCTTGTTTGGATATCAGCCAGCACGTCAATGACTTAAATCAAGAAATAGTTTTCTAAGATCTACAGAGACACTCGCTGGAATACCCCAGCAAGCAAGAGTCCAAAAGTGGCAGGCTCAAACCCAGAACCTCAATCAATGGCTGATACCAAATGAGAGACTCCCCCTGGGCACACAGAAAACTGGGCAATTTGGAAGGTGCTGAACAGACTACGCTCTGGCACCACGAGATGCAGAGCCAATCTTAAGAAATGAGGCTACAAAGTGGAATCCATGACATGCGAGTGTGGAGAAGAGCAAACCACTGACCACCTGCTGCGATGCAACCTGAGCCCTGCCACATGCACAATGGAGAGCCTCCTTGCGGCAACACCACAGGCACTCCAAGTGGCCAGATACTGGTCAAAGGACATTTAATCAACTACCAAACTCACAAATTCTGTGTTTTGTCTGTTTGTTTGTTTTTGTTAAAAATGTAATACGAATGTCTGGTTGCTGATGACACAATAAATAAATAAAATAACATATTGATGCCTCAATTAATGTCATTTTATTGGTATCTATTTTTATTTTGAAATTGATCAGTAGCTGCTGCATTTCTCACCCTCGGCTTATACTCAAGTCAATACGTTTTCCCAGTTTTTTGCGGTAAAATTAGGTGCCTCGGCTTACATTCAGGTCAGCTTATACTGGAGTATATACAGTATTTAATATTGGCACTTGATCAGTAA